GCTCTATACTTGGATGTGGCTGCTCATAAATAATTATACAGGGCTTGAGTGTAACCTATGCAGAAGAAATGAGATTTGAATACTGTTTAGCTCCTGTGCTGAGGTACACACCTTAGGGGGAGGAGGGGAGAAGGGGTAATTCTGTCTCAGGGCTAAGCTGTCTCAGAGTTGTGATATTTGTAAGTACTTGTATTTATCCCAAAATAGGGTATGCATGTAATGCATACTAGATGCTGGGTATAAGACTAAGAAGAATCCTAACAGCTGGTTGTAGCATTTCCTAACAAAACTACCCTTACATGATAAATATTTGGGAGGTAAGGGTCATAGATTGTGGCACAGAAGTGGCTGGCCAAGCTGTAGGTGATTCTTTTGTACGTGCTTCTCTTCCCAAGGCAGAGAAGGTGAAAAGCATGCCCATAGAGGAGCGGAAAGCCAAAGCTGCAGCAGTCAGTACGAGCAGGCTGCTGACTCAAGAAGACTTCCAGAAAATACGTCTTGCCCAGCTTTCCAAAGAAATAAACTCTGCACCTGGCAAAGCTGCAAAGAGGAAATACATTGAAATAGATGATGAAGAGGAGGAGGGCAGGTAGGATATGGACTGTCATCTGGTGAAACAGCTTTTCGTTGCAGCAGGGTACAGAGCGCTGCTGTGGAGTCAGTATTCCCTGGAGACAGGTAACAAACAGCCGTGGCCTAGAATGGATCCTGGCTCAGCATTTTGTTTGTACCTGGGAGAAAAGATATGAGGGGCCTATGGAAGGTCTTAGCCTGTTTGGCTTGTTCAGGCCAAGAGCATCGGGAGGTTTGTAGCACTGTTATTTGGTTATTACTTCAGAGTTTGTGAAACTGTGGATAAAGCAAGACTTTAAAAACAGTAATGGCAGCTTTTGAGGGGGATGTCCCAAGCATGAGAAATAACCTGAAAGAGAACAAGAACTGTTTGTGCCTGAGTTTATGGTAAGACAGTGGTGTAAGAAATGGATTAGAGACCAAGAGGGCATTGTGTTTTCCATGCCAGATAAAGTGTTGTGGGTGGTGACCCTTTGCTGGATTTCTGTTTGTGTAGGGGGGAGTTGCTTTCACTCAGAGATATCGAACATCTCCATAAGAAGCCCAAGTCAGACAAAGAGACCAGACTGGCAACTGCAATGGTGAGGAACTGGGATGTTTCATGTCTTGTCTTTGCAGATTCAGGGTTATGTTTGCCTTCTGCAGAAAGAGGAGGTGTTTGGGTTGCATCTGTAAGATGGATGCCCAGCTGCTATTGGGTTTTGAGAAACTATTTCAGTTTTTTGCTGTTGCATTTTGGCTGCAAGAGACGGCCTCTTGCTGGTCACAGGTGACCACAAAAGTACAAACACACCCAACTTTCACAGTGACTTAAGAAATACAGCCAGCATAGGAGAATGCAGATATGGACACAAAGTCATCCTAAATCCAAGTTTATTGTTACTGCCATAGAACCTGTTACCATCAGGCAGCTGATGTTGACTGTGGGGAAGGAAAATGGAAGTGACCCCCTGTTATTCTACTACAATTTTTATTCTAGGCTGGAAAAACAGACAGGAAAGAATTTGTAAAAAAGAAGACAAGAATTAACCCCTTTGCCAGCTCTTCCAACAAAGAAAAGCAAAAGAACAAGAACTTCATGATGATGAGATACAGTCATAGTGTCTGCACCAAGAACAAGCGTTCCTTCAGGGAGAAACAGGTAATGATTAGTGCTGGAAATGGATGGGGCTGTGTGAGCTCAAACTCAAAGTGCAGGTGTAGTGCTGTGCACCCTGTGTCCTGAGATGTTGCTGCTAACTTGGGTGGTGTAATGGCTGCAAAGCCTGTGGCCTTGGCTTCCCTCAATTGTGCCCCGGCGGAGGAGCTGTATTGGAGACTGTAGTGAATGTTGTTGACAAGCTCCTCTAACATGCTTTGAGGTCCAAGCCCTGTTGCAGAGTCAAGTGTAGGTTAGGAGTATTTTGCTTTCCTTACATAAATTGAAGATATGATAATAGAATCCTGATTGTAATCCTGTGATAGAAGCAATGTTTCTCTGACATGGAGTTGTCTCTCAAGGCAAACTCTCAGTGTGTTTCTTCACTCTCCCCAGTCTTTCTTTGACCTTTGTCCTGTTACTGTTGTGTTATGGAGTCACCTGTTCTGGCCTTGAGGCCATGTAATAGCTTGTCACGAATAACATTTAAAGCTGTTCTTTAAGGACACCTATTGCTACCTGAAGTGAACTGGAAAATCAGTTTTGCAATAGTTTGACTGTAGTGCTGCTCTCAGTGGTGAGACCCCTGCCAGTCCAGGATTTCACAAGGTGTTAGTAAATTGAACTCATCCAAACATGTTCCAACAAACTTGTAGAATAATCCAGTTATGTAGTTGTCTTATATGTGGTGGGTTTTTTCTCCTTGCTAGTTTGTCTTGTTAGTGCTGTCAGAGGCTTCTTTTGTGATGTGTTTGCAGGACCATATCACTTGCATAATGTGTATTGGTTTGCAACTTGTTGCCTTGAGAATGGTGAGACTGCAGCTGTCAATAGACTCAGTAGTCTTAAGTGTTTCTGTTTAACAGGAAGGTGTGGACTAATATCCTCTGTGCACATAAGGCTGACTATATTAACCATGCTCTCAAAACACACAAAATAGGTTGCAAATAAACAATCCAGGCACTTCCAGGAAGCTGCTGTTGACAATGGTTCTTGGCTCACTTATAACCCTCTTGAATGTTTTGTGCTTAGTTCCATCACGTGTGTTATGCTACAGTATCAGTTCTGTTAAACATAACTTGCAAGTAACTTTAATGAGTGGGTTGGAGTACCTTAATTGTGTGACACTGCATTCTGCAGCACTTCTGGTGGCAAAATAAAATGGCCTGTTGTCTACAGTTATACCATTAGATACTTTACCAGCTAAACCAGAGTGACATGGCACTTGTAAACCTTTCTTCCCCCTTGGAAAGTTTTGTCATATGCCTTCACAAATAACATTTTTACCTACCTCTTATCTAGGCTGAAGCTTTGTCTTGATCTCTTCTGGTTAAAATGAGTCAGTGGAAGAAGAGTTTATCTTTCATTGTATAGTATTTGGTATTGCTCAGCTCTTTAATTGTACTGTGGAGTTTAGGTAAATAAGTGTTTCTGCCATTGTAGTTAACATTTGCTATTGCTGTTCCCAGTTGGAGCTGATGAACTCTTAGTGTTTTTCTCAAAGGTTAAAGAAATTGAAAAGGGTCATTGATGTGATTGGGATGTTGTCTCAGTTATTATTCTCCTTACCTGATTACTCCACTCTTCTCATGTCCAGATTGCTCTTCGAGATGCACTTCTGAAAAAGAGGAAAAAGCTGCTGAAATAAGTGCTGAAGAGAACTTACTCACCCTTGAAGAAATAGCCCTGGAAATACTTATTTCCACCCACCATCCCCCTGAGGGAAAGAAGGACTGTGGTGCCTTATGGATTTATCTCTGTTCAGTTCAGAGTTAAAGCTGGAATTCTTACAAGCTGATGGATTCTGCATCTGTAGGACAGATAGAGGCCTTTAACTTGGAAGGGTTTTGTTTTTAAAGCATTCTAGGGGAGAAGGCAATTACCTTTCTATTTAATGTAATTAACATACAAAATGCAAAAAAAAGTATTAAAATACACAACCTTATCGTTAAAATATTTGACTCGAGGCAATTCTTGAATAAGCAATGGGAAGCAAAGAATATTCTGGTCAGTCTCTAAAACGTGTATGTAGTGTCTGTGCCTGTCTTAAGGGTGTGGCTGTACAGACTTGAGTAAGATGTCTGAACAGCTGTCTTTGACCAATGTAATAAGACCAAATCCTTGTGTAATGCAGGTAAGCTCAAGTGAAGATTTGGGGGGAGAATCAGTTTCATTGCAGCTCATGAAGAAAATTCAAATCAGTATATGGGATATGGTTTTCATGTTGCCGTTTAAATATGATGCTACCCTTAAATGCCAGAGAGAAAAAGGAATGTTTTGCTATATTGGTGAGTCTAAGGGAGTGACTGGCTGGTGTCTCTTGTCAAGTACATGTGAGAATAACGTGCATCTCTGGATTCTTTATGCTTCAGCACTGACCTCTGCTGGGACCATTAATCAGTTTTGTACCTTCCCCAGCCACTTGTTTTCATGGAGTTGATAAATTATAAATAATTTGAGTGATTTATTTATAACATCTTCTGTCAAAATCTGTTAGAAATGGATTTCCTTGTGGGGCAGGAACAGGTGCCACAAGCACAGTGTAATGGAAAAGCATTTGTTTGGGTGCCTTTTTCCTTTATTTTTTGGAAGCTGGGTTACTGCTTATCTTCTATGTGGGACTTTGCGCAGTTTAGCTGTTTTTCATGTTTAATATGTATTTGTATTTACTTTAATTCCTAATTATCTTGATTGTGTATTGTCACAATCTTCTAAGACCAAAAAAGCTTATAGAGGCTTCAGGGAGCCAGGAGAGAAGAATCAAGTAGGATGTTTTTATAAATTGCAATTTTGTATTGCAATTTTCTTCTGTCCTAAAGATCTGAGTGGTTTCCCTTCATGTGCATGTGTTCAAAAACTAACAATTACTGAGGCTGAAAAGAAGAGGTAACTTCTGCTCTTGGAGTTCAGGACAAGTCTCCAGTGTTCTCTCTTCCCTTTTCCCTCTTGTTTACAGCCTTGCTGTGTGAGCCAGCAAGCTGAGAACTATGCCTGGTTACTGCCAAGTGTGTGTCTGTTCTGTCTGCCCTCCTTGTAAAAAGGGTAGTGTTGGACTGCCTCTTATAAACTTAGGCAAGCAGAAGCACGAGGTGAACAAGGTAAACGCCGGTGTTAAGCGGTATCCTATACCGGTTTCGGTGGTTATTTTGTCACCCTGTGTGCTGCCCGAGGTGCGGGGGTTGCAGTCTGCGGGCCGGCCCGGCGGGCACGCCTCGGGGCGGGCATTGCCATGTCCCGGCCCTGCCCGGCGGGCGTGGCCGCTGTGGTCGCTGTGGCTGCGGGGAAAGCGGGCTGGCCGCGAGCCCCGCGCTGTGCTGCGCCATGGGCTGCGGGCCGTGGGCGCTACTGGCGCTGCTGTGCGGGGCGGCCGCGGCGGCGGCCCCGCTGCGCTGCAACGTGAGCTTGGACAGCCCGGCCGAGCAGCGCTGGCTGCCCGTGCTGAGACACTTCGACCCCGCCTTCCTGCGCGCCGCCGTGGCCCGGGTCATCGAGTGAGTGCCGCGCGGGGGGTGCTCGCAGCGCCCGGGACGCGCTGACGGGGAGGTGCGGGGTTGAGCTGCTGACACCACTGTCCCTCGCTCGGCTAACGCCGCGGGTGTTTTGCAGCGAGAGCGTCCCGAAATGGGTGCACCAGGTCATCCGGCCCATAGCAGCGGAGCTGGAGCAATTCATGCCGCAGCCCTTCGCGGGGGAGATTGTGGGGATGTGCCGAGCACTGGGAATCAGTCTGGGAGACGGAATCCTGCTCAACTTCGCCTACGAGTCCACTGCGTAAGTGTGTGGTACTTACAGCGTCTGGTATGAGCAGGGGTAGAACCTGGGGCAGTTCAGCGTGGGAGGAGGCATAGCAAGGCAGGTCACTTTTGCTGTTCCTTCTCGGACAGTACCATATCTTCAGCTGGAAGGTTTCATTCCCGTTAGGCTGTTTGGATCCAGAATGGAAAGAGAACGTTGTTTTATATGGCTTAGTGAAAGTAAAATCTAGCTGTTGTGTTCTTGTGTGCGTACATCTATGTAAGTGTACAAAAGTCTGAAAATTTCTGCTAATAAGGTAGAGCCCTCCATTCAAAGTAGTTGGGGTGGTTTATCTTTAAAGGTCATGTAAGGTAATCTTCTGTCATGTAAAATCACCCAAAAGGCAGCTAGAATGATTACTTGCCATTTCATTATTTTAACTGTTTGTCTGAGAAAGTTACTCTAAACCGCTTTGTGGATGAACGTTCACAATGACTGCATCATGTCACTCTGATTTGCATAATGGAAAATGGCTAAAATATTTGACAGAAATCAAAACATCAGTGGAAAAAATAGTTTCATTCCATTCTTTTGCTTTAGAAGCACGTACACAAGAATAATGAACACTTGAGGTTGCCTCTGAGCATACTAAAAATATTTTTTCATACAGATTTTATGAAAATCCAGGGTATACAGTCACTTCCCTGCATTTCAATTGTTTGTTTTTTTTAATATGTGATATTCAGTTAGTGATCCTTTTTTAGTAAGCAATATTGTACATGATACTTATTGAAATGCTGCCTCTGTCAGTGTTTCACAAAGGATACCTATCATGTTTGGCCCTGGTAAAATCCATGCAACTTTCTGAGCTTGGATTCTAAAAAAAAAAAACCCTCAACTGAGAACAACAACCTAGTTGCATGAGGAATTTTTTATCTTTATATTTTTGAGAGATAAGGTTATGCATTATGTATCACTGAGAAGAAACTTATAACTCTAGAGGAAATAAGTTGTTAATTTCCTGCTAATGGAATATACTCCAAAAAAAAGCCCTTTTCAATAAAACTAAAAGTGTTACACAAGGGATTAGAGCACACTTGTTCTAGAGATTAGTCTCTTACTTGAACAACTGTTTGCATCAGTTTCACTGAAAGGATTTAGTTTGAACTTATCTAATCGTGACTACAAATAGAAATATGATCCAAATTGAAGTGAAATTATCAAATTTAAACAGAGAGCAGGACACTTTGTGGGTGTTTTTGTGATTTAGAAAAAAAAAGGAAATAATGACTTTTCCCAAGTTGAAGTACTGCTCTCTGCCTGCTCTGTGGTTTCTGACCTGATTTCCTGACTGTAGTGTGTCACTGGACTTTGAGCAAACTCCTATTTGCATGGAAACATTAATAAAATAGTTAGCAGAACCCAGTTTCTCCTGAAAGGTTGATCTATTTTGACTATAACATTGAAAGCACTGTCGTAGCTCTTTATTCACTGATTTTTGTCTGATGTGTTTGCAGGTTCTGTACAAGCATTGTTGCTCAGGATGACAAAGGGAACATCTACCATGGTCGAAACCTGGATTATGATTTTGATGATCTATTGAGCAAGATCACAGTTGATGTGCAGTTTATAAAGAGTGGGCAGGTATGGTCTGGGATTGGCTCAGCTGGGTGGTCTGTCCCATAGCTGCTTAGATAGGGGGATTTAATGTAGGAATGTGGCTCCCATCCCACACAGACTGGATTGTTAGAGCAGCACAGTCTCCAGGAGTGTGGGATGAATGCTGGTTTTCTTTACTTTCTGGACATCCAGTTGATGGTGATGGATTGGAGAAAATAGAACAGCATAATAAAATATCTCAAGATCGTTATTTCTAAGGACATGTTGAAAGAAAAAAATGTCAAGATACTAAGAAAAGTACTACAGAAAATGAGATCAGTTTTGGCAGGGATCAGTTCTAAGGCTTACTTTTTAGACCTTTCTAGTTTTTGTGACCAATGTGTGTGGTTTTGGGTCAAGATTTCAAAAGATGAATTAGCTGCTAGTACAGTCTTAATGTGGATTTATTCACATTCATTAGTCTGTTTTGCAAATGGAAAGCTCACTGTTCGTTTCTTGCTTGGCTGCTTGCTAATTTGAGCTAAACTCTTGTAGCAGCTGGTGATCACTAACAAATGAAATGCAGTGAATTTGAGACCTCATTCTTTTTATAATTTACTTGGCAAGTTTTACTGTAATTTAAGGCACAGTATTTTATAGCAAGTAGGTATGAGAGTCACAGAAAGAAGGAAAAGGGTGCTGCTTCCAAATGTTAGCAATATTTTAAGTCCCATTCTGTTCTGGAATGCTGATGTGCTGACTGTTTCCTGGTTTCAGGTAGCCTACCAAGGCACCACATTTCTTGGCTATGTAGGCTTATGGACTGGACAAAGTCCACACAAGTTCACAATCTCTGGGGATGAACGAGGTAAATGAAATGTCTTCTACACTTTACACTGTGTGCACTGTTGTTGATTGTTGCCTGCCCTGGCGCTTCTCCCCCAGAGGGAAAAGTGAGGTTAAGGTTGCCAGGAAGGATCTGAAATGGAACAACTTGCTTTGCCCTCAGCGGAGTCAAAGTGCACATGCTGACAGTTTTTGGCTGCTGTGCAGGAGGAGGTATTTGTCATCTGAGCTGAAAGTGTCAACGGACAGGAAGAGCCCTGGGGAGAGCTTTGGAAGGCTAACTGAGGTCTGGTCAAGAGTCACAGCTGGAGGTGGCAGAGTAAGGGCTGACAGAACAAGATGCAGATTGGATAACGAAGAAACAGCTGCTTCCTGATTCTGTGACCCTTGTGCTGTATTCCACTGTCTGTCCTTATATGGCACTTGGAAAGAGGATGGGAAGATAAGTGTAAGACAGATTTTGGGGAAGGGCAACTGAGCAAGATCAGTAATAGAGGGAAGTTGAGAGATGTCACTGCTGAAAACTAAAACTTGGAGCAATGAGGAAGGCCAAGGTCACTGCCTCTCTTCCATTGGTACTGCAGTGTCACAAGTATTGTTAGTTAAATCCATTTCAAAGCTTGGGGTTCATATCTTCCATCCCCCTCCCTTTTCAAGTTTGTTTAAAGAAGCTGACACTTTGTTCTTTATTGGCTGATCGTTTGAACTGGCAACAGTGTAGTTTCAGAGCCAACACAGAAAATAGTTATTTTTCTCTTGTGATGGTGATAAGCATTTTTGGCTTTTTAATCTCTTAATTGGACACTCTGTTTTTGAAATTCAAACTCGATACACAAACAATATTCACTGTACATGTTACACAGACATTATCTCTGAGTAGGGGTTCTGGTATGGAGCACATGGACCTCTGGATTCTTGTTTCCTTTGTTAATGTAGCCTTGTTGGAGTCACTAAATTCTTTCCATAGCTGACACACATACTGCTTCTGATACCAAAGTAGTTATTTAATCCTTTCAAAGCTGGAGTGTCTTGGGCTCATACTTAGAGATGCAAATTACTTTTAGTTCAGCTTAGAAATAGTCCCAAGGGTATCAAGTCTCTGTAAAGGCCTGACTTAAGAAATCTTGTGAACCAAAGACTTATGTCTGTTCATTCCACACATGCTTCACTTCTGTAAATTGGTTGATGCTGTGTGCTGATTTATCTGAACTAAAAGGTCTTTTTTTAGTTCACTCCGACTGAACAACAAATTAAGGGAAATAAGCATGTGGATTGTGGTTGGGAAGGGGGAGTGACTAAATTAGGGTGAAGATCTATCAAGTGACAAGCATATTGATTCTGGTGGCTTTCCTGTGGTTTTGATGTGTGAAGAAAATAAACTTGCCCTTCTGTTTTTCTTACTTCTCCTAATGTTCTCGGTAACACAAACACTATCACTACTGTTTTTTAGCAGATTATAGAGATTATTATCACTCTTTTCATTACAGGTCTGAGATACTTTCTGGAAAACAGGGGTGTTAATCCAGCTACTGTGGCTGAATGTCAGTTGGGATTAGGTTGTCTATTTACATTCCATCAGGATGTTGTGCTCCTTGTTGGCCTTTCTCCCATAAAATATTAACATCTTGTGCTGATAGGCAGCTGTCTTGTTTCATTGTCTGTATGGATACTGCATGTATAGTAATTACCTTTTTCTCCCCAGATGGTGGTAGGTGGTGGGAAAATGCCATAGCTGCTTTCCTCAATCGGAATTACCCTGTCAGCTGGCTGGTCCGGGATGTAAGTGCACTGGGTTACTTTCTCACATTTCGGTTATGTCGTTTGTGCTGAAACTCAAGGTAAAATTGCATCTGCCAACTTTCAGTTGCACAGAAAACTTACTGGTTTGATAAGTAAATAGATTTCACAAGAGAAGCTAAGTGTTGTCCCTGAATTGTCAGTAAATGAGAGGCAATTCCAGTCCTTCAAGGGAGTGATCTCTAATCAGTGCCAGAAGTCCTGGTGAAGCTGTGCCAAGACTTCCTTCCTAGGGACTATTTCATCTAGTTGTGATTTGTTATGACCAGTTAAGACAGTAGCACTCTTAGATGTGAATACCTGTTCCCAGGGGTTATTTGATATGTTACTATACTGATACTTTTCTCAAGTAGTGCTTGAGTCATTGACCATTTCCAGACAGGCTGGACCTTTTTGATTCTGAAGTTGTGCCAGTGCTTGTTTCTGTACTTGACCTCACTGTCATCTCCTTTTTTGCATCAGACCCTGAGCAGAGCAGAGGATTTCCAGTCAGCTGTTCTCAGACTGGCTGACATTCCCATCATTGCTGAAGTTTACTATATTGTGGGAGGTGTGTCACCCAAAGAAGGCATGGTCATAACAAGGAACAGAAAAGGGCCAGCAGATCTCTGGCCTCTGGATCCTTTGGGTGGAGCGTAAGTAGGAAAAAACTGCTTTATTTTCTTTGCTTTCATTCCCTCCTGAGTGATAGGTTTGGTTAGTTACAACTTTCTGGAGAGATCCAGGCACTTGGTGGTAATGCTTACAGCTGCACAGGGAAAGCCTGAAACCCTCAGAAAGGAATGCCAGTTCCATCTCCTGGAGAAGGAATTGCACCACCTTGTCAGGTTGGGCCAGTGTGAAGCATTTCTTCCATTTTTTAGCCAGCCTCCAAAGGAGGCAAGACTTGAGGGCTCTTGCCATCTGTCTGCCAAGTATTGCACTACTAAACTCAGCAACTGGAAATCAGTTGTGGCCCAATGTGGTAGAAGGCTAAAGGCACAAAAATAACAGTTTCTATCTAGTTTTTTAAAATCAGTAGCTTAATATAGGAAGGTGATGGTACAGAACTGCCCTATGAGGATAAAGGGCACTAATGCAAACAGGCAGATGGAATGCTGCAGGCTGCATCACTTGCAGACCCATTGCTTTTCCAACCATACTTCTGAAGGTGTGTTACTGTAGTCAGTGGTAGTTTTGTCACGAGCCAGCAGGAGTTCAGGGGTTACTCCATTTATGTTCCATACCTGATGATCCAGGCTGTTATCTATATCTATACAAGGCTCTTGGGCTTGCAAAAGACACAGGGAAGTGGCTTTTGAGGGATGTTTTTCATTTTGGCAATGCAGAGATGCTGATGATTGGCCTGAAAGGATTTCCTGCTGATTCACCTCTTCCCTTTTGGTCACAGGTGGTTTCGTGTGGAGACAAACTATGACCACTGGACCACCCCTCCTCCTTTTGATGATCGCAGGTAAACTGGGAGCTCTGTGGCGACTGAACACTCCCATTTTGAAAGAGCTTACAGGTTTGGGTGTCTCCTTCTCTGGGCAGGTGTTATCTCCTTGAGCAGGCAGCTTATTTACTTGCTGTAATGCTACTCTGGAGAGAATAGGTAAGGGGAAGGGCAATATTCCCAGATGCCAGGGCAAAGTCTGTGAGGCATGGCTTAGCATAAATGAGAAATTGCCGGGGAAGGCTTGGGGCCAAAAACTTCAAGTAAACTTTAGTAAAAGGGAAATGATTTAAATGCACAGTGCAAAAGTATTTGATGGCACTAGGAAGGTGCTCACATGTGGACTTTATTAGGCTGTGTAGTATGCAGAGAGGGACTGGCAGGTTCTGTACTCAAGGGATTAGTAAGAGTAGCTTCAGTGTGAGACCAGGTCTTGTCACACAACTCAGGGTTATTTTAGGCAAAGCAAGTATTTCAGTGTCAAGGCCCTAAGTGAGAAGTTTGTGTTGGTGTTTTGTAGCCTTTGGGATAGGAAAGTGTGTTAATGATACTCTGTTTTCTTGCAGAACTGCAGCCATCAAAGCTCTCAATGCTACTGGACAGCAGAACATCAATTTTGATACACTCTTTAAGGTATTTCTTTAATTCTGCATTATGATTTTCACTTCAACTGTTGTCAAAGCAGAAATGCAGTAGTTTGGTCAGGGATCTAAAAAGCTGTGCCTTTTTTGTGGGGAACAAGCTGTACTGCAGAGTCACCTCTGGAGAGGTGAAGACCAAGTTTGTTAAAATGCTTCTGAATTCCTGTGTGTAGGTGTTTTGTAATAGTCTGCCAATCCAGGTGGAAAGTGCAAGAGGTGAATCCCATCATCTTTGTAGTTCCTTATTTCAGGCAAAACCATTGATGTCACAGCAGGCAGTGTTAGACATGACTGGTATCTACCAGTTAGCTTTGGGAATTGAAATGGATATTTCAGAGGGCTTTTGAAAGTAATTCTGTGAAATGGCTGGATGGTAAAAAAAGCTGGAAAACTCTTTACTTCACATTATCGCTTCTATAACTTCACCCTGCTGCTGTTTCTAAATAGCCTTTTAATTCCCTTTTCATCTACCAAAATGACAACTCTTCAAACTTTCTGTACAGGTGTTGTCAGTGAAGCCAGTCTTAAACAAGTAAGTATTAGATTGAGATGATCTGTGTCTCCTGTTTATGCCCCAGGCCATTTCCAAGTCAATCAAAGCTTCCTGAGGGTCTCGCTGTGTGTCTGTCTTGTGGCTTCCCAGCTGAGATTTTGGCTGGCGTTTGTGTCACTGTTTTCACTTCTGTAACACCCTTTGTCATGGGTCTGCCCCTCCATGCAAAGAGCTACGCTTGGTTGGACTCAGTCTGGTAGTGGGTAGTTGCTTTGAAGTAGTGAAAAAAATTACTCCTTTGGAGGAGCAGCTGGACTGTCCACTGAGTTGTTTGTCCATTGTTTGGGTTGGTGTTAACACTGAGAGTGGCTTCTTTTTTGTTATTCTGATGTAGGTCTGCTTGATGTGTAAAAAGAAAAAAAGTAAATGGGGCAAACTTTTATGTATGATTTACTATGTTGTCGAGAGATTTATTTCAGTATCCTGTTCTGTATTGTTGCAGAAATGACAGCTTTGCAACACACAGGTTATCCTGTTATGCTTTACACAGAGATCAATATATTCTCTGGATCACTCATTCTCTTTAGAGCTTTGCAGTGGCTTCCTCTAAGTTAATACCCGGACCTCTTCTCCTCTGTCTTGTAAATGTGAGGAAATTAGGAAAGAAGAGTTTGTATCTGTCACAGCTGAGATGAACAGTACCAATTGTTTAATATAGTAATGAAATGGATGTGGAAATACCATTGCTTTGCTGTACTGAATGGGGAGAGAACACTAAAAATCTGTGCTGGAAGCCTTCAACTCCATCAGCTTTCCTCAGTCTTTCTAACCCTTCTGTACCTAAGCAGAAGATTTGTTTCCACTCAAGCTGCTCTGCTAGCAGTGTAAATTAGTGTTGCAGCCTTTGGGATGTCCCTGACTCTTCCTCTCTCCCTGCCAGTAACACAGTGTACACCACAGTGATGAGTGCTGCGTTTCCTGCCAAGTACCAGACATGGATCCGAACTGAGCAGTGAAGAGCTGTAAGGAGCAGAGGTGTAAGTAGCATGTTGTACCTGCACTTTAAACAACCACTTTGGCTGCAGAGTCACTGAGGGATGACTGTGCTGCAGTGGCACTCCAGTGACCTAGTCTGAAGTCCTGACTCTGTCCTCGGTTTGTGTATTGCCCTTGGGTAAATACCTTCCCTTGTTGTTTTAAAGATTAGTAAGTATTGGCTTGCTTAGTGAAACTCTTGGAGATTATCTTAGGGAAAGTGCTTGATCTGAAAGGAATGAGGGGTAGGTGGTGTGACTTGAGGTCTCTAGCAATGTTTTGGGTGGTTTTAGCAGTCCCCACTCCAGCACTCCCTTGTCTCCAGGTGCTCGATAGGAATCCCAGCAGCAGGGGGTGGTGCATTAGCACCAGAAAAAATTGAGCTTCACTGGCAACAGTTGCTCAGCAGTGACAATGTGAGCAGCACCCTGAGGGATTTGTTCTGTCAATTTGCAGAGCAAGTCCAAGTCCTTGATCTCACAAGGTGCTTCATGTGGCAGTTTCAATGTACTTAGAGAAAGATACAGTTATGATAATTTATATGCCAAGAAACTTGGATTGCATGACTTTGGCAGGAGCACAAGAAACTGCATTCCAGCTTAAAGGTGTTTTTTTTTAAATTATTATTACTATTATATTTGTAGCAGTTAATTCAGATCTGATTTTAGCAAGAGTAATTCCTTTTAGAGATTATACAGAGTTTGGGTTTTTGTAACTCTGTACCAACCTGTGCTCTCTTATCTATTTTTCTATTTCGACAGACTGGGTGAAAAGCTGAAGCTTTGCAAGATCAGCATATGCTTTTAAAATAACTCCTGGGAGCAGTACAGTCGTTGTGGCTTACTAATTATGTGAACCATTTGGGAAACAGTGACTTGTTAACTCTTTGAAGTGCTGCGGGGGATCCTCTTAATGAACTGTAATGGGTGTTTGAATTTTATTGTAACTGATGTTGTAGCAGATGTGACTGGTTAAAAATGGCTTTTACTGGTTTTGGTAAGAGTTGTGTAACTGCAATGTAGTTCTGTGCTAACAAATAAATTTTGTACTTTACATGGCTGGTAGGTCTGAACATGATGAAATAAAAAGATGCTGCTGATAGACTGATTCCTGGAGGTGTGTGGGGTTAGTTGCATGTGCTTATCCTTTCTTCTCACCTGTGAGGGGTTGGTGACGTGAGCCTAGCAGGGGCAGATGCAAGAGTCAGCAGCATGCAGAGCTGTAGACTATGGTAATTTAATTCATCAGAAATCAACAGCTGTTTCAGGAATTGTGATAATACTTTGCTCCCTGGTAGATGAGAGAAGCTTGTGTTGGGGAGCAGTGAGGCTAAAGGGGGACGTATGTTTTCCTGTGTTCAAATAAAATTGCCTGCAACAGTAAGTTTATAAGTCGTTTCTACAATGTGGAGCAATGGGGGGTTTGTCGGGTTGTGCTATGACTGCATATTGAATTTGGGCACTTCATTGTACCCTGGAAATAGTGAAGGATTTGAAGAGTCAAGACCGGTGGATACCAGATTATGTAAAGCTTAGTGGTCCCCTTGTTCACTGGCCAGAACTGCACCTGAGGGAAGGTGAGGTCAGAGCACCATTTTCAGATCCATGCTGTGCTGGTGCAGTGTTTGTGCACTGGCTGTGCACACCGCTCTGAGAGCACCTTCTGGAGCTGGGGGCCCTTTTATCTCCTTGTGCTGAGTCTCATAACCTGCTTATCTGTATCTTGTCCTCCTGACTGGATGAATGTGCTGCAAGCTTTGCCCTGACCCACTTTGTACAGCAGCTGGGTGCCAGAAGGATAAATGTGAACAGAGTTCTGGAGGAAGATGTAGCAGTACTCACTATCTTTGGGATTGCAAAATGCCATTGTTTTAAATCACAGAGCAGGCACTGACACCTGAAGGCACCAGGTTTTCATTAAATAACAGCCACCTACAAAAGGATCCTTCCAGGTGTGGCTTTATTTTGTCATCCTGACCTCTGCAACATTAGGCTGATTATCCTCTGCCAGAGGTGTGCCTGGATTTTACTGATATGTACATTTAACCAAATGTATGTTTTAATGTGTACTAGCAGATCTGGGGTGTATAAGTCACAAGTATCTATGAATATTCAGGAAAAAATTTGCTGCTGCTGTTGTGTTTGGGTCTTGGCAGCTGTTTGGGCTTGTGAGGTTTAAACAAGGAATTTGGTTTTTTTCTTCCAAATTGTTTTCTTGAAAACCTTGCATTTTGTGTGATAATAAACACTCCAACATGCTCATTGCCAATAAAAAGCTTTCTGCCACCTTGAATGCTTTTCTTCTGCTAATCAAAAACATAAACTACTTTGTGGTTTTAGTTTAATGACAAGCTAAAAATATAATTTAGTAATGAAGTGCTAAGTGACCTATTGTAGTAACTAGATGATTTAACCTGTGAGTAGCTGAGCTACTTTTAATAAGAATTGAAATTTGACAAACATGCAGACATGGGATTGCTAATACTTTAAATAAAACTCTTAATGCTGGAAACATTAAAATGTAGTGCTGATGCATTATTCTGGCAGGTTTGGATATTTTGTGGGAAGTTTTGCCGAGAAAGGTTGGACCAGATGATCCGTAATGCACTTTTCCATTATGGCATTCTAGGGTTCTATCATGTTTCCTTCTTTAAAAATGGAGGATCACTTATTTCTGCTTAAGATTTCATCTGCTATGTGTCCACTTTTTAAAAGAAAGTAGTTTTTCTGCTTTCTCAAGCCTTAGAGTTGTTAAGTAACTAAAACAGAACTAAGGTAAGTAATCCTTGCTTTTTTCCCCATCCTTTCCTTTCTGTACTATAGATCCCCTCACTACAAAGCTACAGTCCAACAGAGGTAATGGGTGGAACCAATGATTAATTTTTCTCTGTAAGTTTGCATTTAGCAAAAGGTGACTTGCAAGTGTGTAAGAGCTGGCTCTTAAGATGGGAGAGGCTCACATGCTGTGTTTCTCATTTATAATCCCTTCAGTAATCCTAATCCAGGTCAGGTCTGTAGCCTTTCTTAAGGATCACATGGGAGAGGATTCTTTAAGGCAGTAAATAAGCTGAAGGGTCCACACCTGTTCTGGGCTGCACATGTACAAAGACATGGCCTGTCCTGCTGCGTGCCCAAGGGAGCACCTCACTCGATTGTTTGCACTTTGAGGAGGAGCTTCTGCATCTGTAAGCAGACCAATCACTTCAAAGATCATTCATGTCTTTGGGTAAAGAATAGAACAAAAATCTACCAAGTGAAGAGCTTCTATTGTGTTTACCTCAACAAATCCCTAACTTAAGAATTGGCAAGGTAAGTTGTATTTTGACTTTTTTGTGAAAGGGTTTTATGTTCAGAACCCATTTTGAGGTGAAATATCCTTTTTGTATGCTGAGCTGTATAAAACTGCATTTGAGGGGTTTGTATCTGAAACTGACTTTTTTGGCAGTGCAGTAACAGGGTGCGGGTGTGTGTGTAGAAATAAAACAAACTTCACCATCTCCTTTCCAGCTGCAAGATGTGCTGAGTCCAATGTACACACAGGCCATACATAAGTCTTTACTCCTGGGGGCAAGGCAGGATCATCACTTTCCCTAGTGCTACCCGGGATTTGTTTTCTTGAGAGAAGTATTTGGTTACTTTATTAGTCTGTAGCTCCTAAACTGTTGCTGTTTTTCTTTCAGTGAAACTTTCCTTCCAACATCTTTCAGGTTTTTCCCTGTTAAACTCTCAGTAAGTGTGTCTTCCTGTTGCCTTCCATGTTCTGCTCATCTGTTCCCTCAGCTGCTGGACTGTCTATAAAATGGGCAGGTTAGTGGGGCTCCTGTTGTGTATGATCCATGCAGTGTCACTTTTCCTAGGAGCCCTGTTTTGGAGCAGGATTCCCGTTAGCTGTGGTGTTCCTGGCCTGTGGGTTGAGCATCCAGTTCTGCACACATCTCCAATGTGCACAGGCTCAGAGTATGTAGGATTTAGTTAATGCTGTCACTTGGTTTTGTTTTGAAGAAGCTAAAATAATATTTGTGCTAAGGCAGGAAGCTGTTTTTTTCCTGTTTTGGGGTGCTTGACCTAAATGGATTTGCCTGAGTTGTTTTCCTGAGTTCTGTGGTATTAGATACCATTATTCAGCAGGTTGGCAGCTTGCATTTGAAGACTTCCAAGAAGTGGTATCCAATAGCTCATGAAGTTTCTGGAGTCTGACTGTTATGTGTTTCTTCTACCTGTGGAATATTACCTCTGGTGAATAGGGAACATCTTCCCTACATGTCTGTGGATGCCTACTGAGACCCTGAATGGTGGCCAAGAGCATGGAGAGGAAGGAGCAGTCAGTAGCTGGTCACTTCTCCAACGCATCATGTTGTCTTGCCTGGCTGTTTAGGACAGGCTGTATTTGAGCTGATGCTGCTGCCGAACTTGAACAAGTCTTCCAGGTGGTCCCTTTTTTTAGAAAGGGAAGGGTGCACCTCCCTGTTCGGTGGATGAGGAAGGATTGGAGGTGCTGAGCAGTTGAACTAGTGGAGTTTTTTCGCACTCCTCCCACCCCTGGAACAGGTTTGATTCCACTGGATTCTGGTTTACTGTTGTGCACTCTTTGGGCTGTGGCCCTCACAAAAATTTGAGGGCCATGAACTTGAAAGAGTTCACAGCTCCAGGAGCTGCTTGGGAGGGACCTGTTGATAAGCCTGTTCATATGATAAACAGGTAGGTGCTGATGCCTATGCTGGTACTCTGCAGGTGCTTCTAAGGCACACTAATACTAAGCCATTTCCTGGGATGGATGGCCAAGATTTGTTTCACATAGGGCTGCCTGAATAATAAACGTCGTTGTTTTGCAGGTTAGGAAGGAAATAAGGGGAAACATTATTCTGTGTTGCCAAAGGTAACCTTAATTCCAAAGTCCCATTTAAACAAAACAGACAGGCAATACCCTTTAACACATCCTTAAAGCAAAGTACCAAACTCTGTACTCAAGTGTTTGCTTCAAATCTGTTCTCCATTTTTCAGAAGTCATCTGGAAGTGTTCTATTTCCTGAAAAAGGACATTGTTGCCTATGTTTGCCTTTTTAAGGGTATCTTTAAAGGTACTCATCTTTTCCAAAAGCTGAAGCCACCTCCTCCCCTTGAAGCTGGCACAGGGGGTTACAAATAAGAGCCCCTTAAGTGTTAGGGATCCTGCCTTTGTGTGCAACTGTCCCTTGGAGTAGTTAACCTGAAAAGTTGTCAGAGCACCTGCATTATTTAAGCATAAATGCTGTAAAGCAGCAGATGAAGTTGGATATAATTCAGTGGTGATTTCAGGCCATTTCTGACACTGATATAAAATGAGAGCATTGCTTTGTACCTTCCTGTTGCATCACCTAGTTACTGTGAAGATGCCATTGTACAGTTGGGCATCCTGGACAAGGGAGAGAATTGCAGCCCTTGCTCTGCCTTGGAACCTTGCCATGCTGCAGTGTGGCTGAGCAGGGCTCACCTTCCTGAGCCAGCACGGCACATGCTTACCTTACGCAACACCGGACGTGCTGCTGCGATTGGTATTTGTGTGGATCGGAGCTATTTTGGGAGGAGAGACGTGGGGTAAGTGGAAAGAGATTGAAGGAGGCACAAGGATTGCAGGAGTTGAGGAAAGGAGGACTTTTCCCTCTGCTGGGGAGAAGCACCTGTGTAGTCACTCTGTCCTGACTCCTCAAAGCCTTCTGAGCTATGGTTCCCTGCAAGCACCAGGCTTAACATTTTTACAGGTGGTTATTTCCTTCCCACCATTTCTGTTTTCTGCCCCTGCAAATTCTGGGTTAGATTAAAAATTTAATTATTTTGTAATACAGCCTGGGGCTGCTTTGGCAGTAGTACATGACTGTTTTTTTTACCAGGGGAATGGTGACTGTGAACAGCATTTTGGTTGTCCTCAAAGTGAGATACTTGAGCATTTGACCTGATCTGGAAGGAGGATCTGTTTGCTCTGACCAGAGCTTCCTTCCAGTTGCCAAGGTCTGGCTGTCCTGCCCTTCTATACTGGCAAGTGATGGCATAATGTGCTCCTACACTGTAGCATATGCATGAGGTGAAGGAAAGAAGTGTTGAACAAAGCTGATTATTTTCTTACAATAGGTTATTGTTTTAGACTTATTTATCCTCCAGCTGTGGTACTGCACAGATAATAAGATTAAACACCATGTGTGTTCATCCCTCATAATGAGTTATCCTTCACAGCTGACTACATGCATGAATATTTGTCTGCACATACTGATTGGTAATCAATCAACTTCATGGCTTTTATAGTTCCTGATCAGTACTGAAAAACTTCTTATACATCTGCCATACAATCACAGTATCTAGATATGCAATTTCTATTTTCATGCAAGTAGGAAAGGTGCTGAACTGGTTCCTATTTATATAACTGACTTGAAACTGGAAAGAGTGAGAGAGAAATCCTAATTTTGGATCATCTGAAAGACACCCAAGTAGCTGGAAAAAAACTGATAGTGGAAGATGTACTTGAGCATGAGAGGCCATCTGATCATTGATCCAAAGTGTTAATTTATTTAATTGTAGATTCTCAGCACTGTGGGACATGTTGCAGCTGTTTTGATTCTGACTGAATGGTGTTTGCTGCATCTCTTCGGTGGTTTTGGTGACACTGGGCCAGTCTGCAGCATTTGGAGCATTGGCTGGAGAACATGGGATCTGGTAGTTCTGTGAATGTCAATTACAAGTACTCCCTGCAGAAGTCTGAAAATGGTGAGTGATTCTTTGAGAAGTCATCTTTTCCTGTTTGCTGTATGTGCTTTCAGGCGGGTGCGGTGCATGTGTTTGTGTGCTGGGTTATCTGGTTTTCCTGATAGCATTGAGGTGAGGTTCTGCATTTCACGATCCTGTGACAAGGATTCTCAGCTGTCAGGCAGAAGACTAACAAGCTTGAGAAAACAGCTATTTAGGCCAGGATTAGATTAAAATCAACCCTAACCTGACCAGATGTGAAGCAGCAGTTAGAACTGACACCTGATGGCCTAATGACTTGCTGGCTAAAGCGTGTGTTGTGGTGTGCTGGCACTGAGACAGACGTGCCAACCAGCTCATTCTCTGGGCTGTTTTCCAAGGCTGTTAGTAGTGCAGGACTGCTAAAGCAGAAGCATTAACAAAGCCAAAACAAATCTGGCTCTAAAGAAGGTGAGATGGTGTGGCTACAAAAAGCTGAAAAGCAAAGTGTGCTTTTTTCCTAGTTATATCAGTGCAATGCTCTTAATTTCTGCTAATGACTTTAACCTGTTTATGGCTCTCAAAGGTGCTAATGATCAATTTTTATGAAACCCTGTGTGTGATAGCACCAATTTCATGGGTATGTGCCTAGATCTGGCTGTGGAACAAAGGGAGTTTGAAGGGGACTTTACACATAGGGAAGTGTTAAAAATAAACTTTCATTTCTTTATTGTTTGTATCAGACAGTGGCAGAACATCAGGCTGGGGCAAACTGTTTGCAAGTGCTTTGAAAAGAGGGATTGTGGTTAGAAATGAAGAAACTAGCGATACACTGACTTTATTTGTAATTTTTGTTTGTTGAAAAACTCCACCTTTTAAGTTAGACTTGTCTATCACCCATGGCACCAGAGAACCGTGGACTTCCCAAGTTCAGCATTATTTTCAGATAATATAGTGTAACATAAAACTAGTTATTTGAAACCCTGTGTTACATCTGATACCTCAGCAACAGTTTCCCATGGCAGTAAAACCTCTTTGAACTTCTTACCTTTGCTTCTCAATCCTTCAGATCTGGTGATCTGCAGATGAGGAGCTGCTTAGGACTTTACACCCACATGCAATGTGCCAGGTGTCATCCTGTCTTACCTATACCAGGTCCAGAGGCTGCTCCTTATGGAAAGTGTAGCCAGCAGAGCTGTTCAACTGGCCCTGCCCTTGAGTGAAGAAGGGGATGGGGAATCCCTCCTGTAAGCTGATGTGTGAGCTATGCTGCTTACACAAGTGTTTGTGTTTTGGCTTGAGTGCTGCCACTGTGGCATGCTTTCAGGAGCTTATCATGATATGTGCCTTGGACCCTCATAAAACGTGGATGAATCTTTCTCTCCCCTTTTTGATTAGTTTTATCTAAACTGATACAAACCCTCCCAGGTGAAACTCACCCAGGTAAGCTGGTAAATTAGAATACTGGCCTTGCAGGTATTGCAGAGTCAGTCTGTGTAAAAGCAGAGTGAAAAATCAGTGCCTTGCCCATCTGGAACTTAAACACTGTGGATGGTGGTATATATGTTAACTCTGCACTTGACAGTGTGTCTTCCATAAGTTTTATTTTAACTGTTTCAAAGGATCTGGTTTTGATTGGTATGTGTAGAGTCACCACTAGGGATTTCTTTCCAAGCCCAGCAGACCAGTAAGCATTTGTTCAACATGAGAGAAGGCTCAGGTACGGAATACAGAAGTTATTCAAGAATAACTGGCCAAGTCTTACCTTCTTCCCCACAACTTCACTGTGACTCAGTTCCCTGCTGCACAGCAGCTGTGACACTTCTCTTTTTGTGCTTGGCTGTTCCCAGTGCTGAAACAGAACCATATTTAAAAGGATTATTATTTTCAATACATAAACCATCAGGATATCTTCTCTAGGGAAAGGTCATTGTTTCCTAATGAAGTACATGAAGGGTGGTTTATGTTATTAATACAAGCTAATTGAATTAATATGATCTCTTTGTCTCTCAAAGGGTAGGGATCCAGAAAGGAATAGGAAGGGACACAGGGTAATCAGAAGAGAGATGCCAAGTAGCAGAGCTGGTCCAAGTGGGGTCAAGGCCAGCTGGGGAGGATGGAAGAGTTTCTAGAGGTACATGAAGTTCTGTGGCAGAACTTGAAAAAGGAAATGGGAAACTGCACCAGTGTACTTGAGTCTAAATATGCACACACCATAACTGAAATAATCTTTTAATGAAACACTGGAATGGGGGAAATGCAGAGGAATGAGTATGTTGAAAAGATCAGGGCAAATAGCTGCCATTCTGAGAGAAGTGCCTGGTGCTGGTGATGGATTGAACCACAAACAGGCAGCTGGAAATTGCTGCCATCTCATTCTTTAAGGGGTCAAAGCTGTGTTTTCCTTTTTTACTCTGGGTGGTAATTTAGTCTTTATTGTGAGGTAATGGTATGTTGACATTTATGCTACAATAAGTTCCCTCAAGTTCTTCCAGAACTGCAAAAGCTGAGGTAGTTATTTGGCATAAAGGGAGGTAGACAATATTTTTAAGGCTGTGGAAGAGGACTTGGTGTCTTATTTTCTCCCACCTCTTTGTGTGACCCAGGTCAAATTTCTGGTTTCTTGAAGCCTTGGCACCCAGAGACTGTAAGGTGGACATTATGATCAAGGGAGATGGAAATGGAGGAAATTGTCCATTAATACTGAAGGATGTGTTTGGATCTTTAAACTGTTAATGGTGGTGCTGAGGAGCCAGCAGTGGTGGCTAGGAGTGCTTCAGAGGTCTCTGGTCAGGCAGGACCAGGTCAGCCTTTTGCAATGTGTTGAAAAGTGGATGATTTGTTACCCTTAATATTTAGGCATCGGAATACAATTAGTGAGGACTTCTCCTGAACATGCAGAGGTTCCTCTGTAATTTTCAGGGCTGGTGAAGGAGCAGCAGCAGGGTAGCTCAGCTTGGCTCTGTTTGTCCCCCAGCTTTCAAGGCAGCTGTTTTGATCCAGCAGTGGTATCGGCGCTATGTTGCTCGGCTGGAGATGCGCCGCCGCTGCACCTGGAGAATCTTCCAATCCATCGAGTATGCCTGCGAGCAGGACCAGATCAAGGTACCGTGCCAAGGAAGTTGGGAAACACATAGCGAGGTGTTTTGTGTGCCACAGGCTTGCCTGCTTCTGGCTGGTAACCCCATAAGTGCTTCAGTGGGCTAAAGACTGGGTTTTGTTCCCCCTTTGAACCTGTTTGATTTGCGGCCTGCTGGTGTCTGATGAAACCTGAAGTTATGAGCCTTGAAAGAAAGCCATAAGGACCATCTAATGTTGTTTTTCTGGAGTCTGAACATAATAGGCTTGCCTATTTGTTTTGTTATACTTTAACTTCGATTAAGATTCTCTTAGATGGCTGCCTTGCTGTCAGGCAGGGAGAAGGGAGGGCTTGTAGCTGTATTTGTGCCTGTTTGGCTGCAGGTAAAACTACTGTTTGCCTTCATCACAAGGTACTCCAAACTTGCATTGGTACAGTGTGATTTGTTGTACATTAGGAGGATAGACATAATACTTACAGAAAGATAATCATGCTAAGTTGCCAGTTGGCAGAATTTAATTCCAGGATTAATGATGGGCTCTCTCTCTTGCAGCTTCACAACTTCTTCAGTTACCTCATGGAGCAGTTCACGCCAAGCAGCAGCAAAGAGAGTAAGTTTCCATGTGAAATAGCTGGAGCTGAACACAGCACTGCAGGTGGGGTCTCATGATCCCTGCTGAGCAGCGCTTGGCAGAGCCCATTTCTGGAGCAAGAATCCATCTTGCCTGACACATACACATGGAAACTTGTCCCTATAGCCTTTCCCCCACTGCAAATTGTGTAGCAGTGTTGAACCAGGACCCAGGCTCTGTGGGGCCCGAGTTGCAGCTGAACCAAACAGCTTTTCTTTGAAAATTACTAGAATGGTACCTTGAACTAATCAACTTTTTCTTGTCTCTCTTTTTTTGGAAAAAATCAATTAAACCCCCTGATCTGCCATCCAGGGGATTTTATCAGTCGCATGTTCATAACTGGAGAAAGCTACAAAGAGGCAGAGCTGGAAAAATACTGTGACTATGAATCCATAGAGGTGCCAGACTCCTATACTGGACCCCATCTCTCTTTCCCACTCCTTCCTGACCATGCAACTGCCTTGCTGGAAGCTTTCAAACAGAAACAAGTAAGGATCCCAACAGGAATTATGCTTTTCCCTTCTCGGTGGGGATGTAGGATAGATAATTTGGTTTTAGCCTTCCCAACAGGCTAAGGTGACTGGAGTGTAACAAGCTGGCAGGCTGTTAAACAGCGGGGGATGAAAATGATATAATATTTTCTCCTGCCACGGGAGTGTTTTTCGTAATGAAAATGCAATTCTGACAAAACTGAAAACTTTACATGGGGGCGTGTACCAGTATCAACCTGAATTTAATTTCTGAAAGAAGAAATCCACAACAGCTCACATTGAACCTTTTTCTCATTTTTTGTTCAAATTTCTGCACTTGCAAAAAAGCATAGCATGGCCCAGATGGAAACAGCCAATTAAAACGTTTTGTACCACACAACTGATTTGCATTTAAAATGTAAATTGTGAGGTCTTTGAAGAAGTCCAGTACCACTTCAGCAGCACTAACAAAGCAAGCCCTCGTACAACTGCAGTGTTGTGCTGCCATCCTCTGTCAAGGTGCTGAAGTGCACAATAGGCCAAAACACTCCTTCTCCAAAAAAACCAATTCCCAAACCAAATGTCTTGTGTCCTGGCTATATTAAATGCTTACACCCTGGCTTGGAGCAAATATGTTTCTGCAGGACATATGGAAACTTGTGACCTGGTTTAATGAGGGAAAGTTAAGAAAGATCTAGAGGAGCAGCCCCTTACCTGTGATACTGGGCTGGAATTTCCCTGAAATTTGTTCCAGGGCAAGTTTCTCCCATCTGGGCTGTCCTGGTGAGCCCTTTGCAGACAGAGCTGTGGTGCTGCTCAGAGGCCAGTGATTTCCTGCTTTAATCCCTTGGCTTTCTCCCAGTAGCAGCTTCATGCTCGCTATGTCTTAAACCTTCTGCATGAGACCAGGAAGCACCTCAAGCAGCTGCCAAACATCAGCCACGTCTCCACCTGCTACAGCGAGGAGGTCACTGTGTGTGGTACGTCAGAGGCTGCAGGATGCTCAAGTGGGAGTGGTGGGAAAGGCATGGAATGGTAGGGAGAACATGATGCCCTCCTCTGTGATGAACATGGAACGTGAAACACACGTGCTGTCTTTAAGCATGTGTGATGCACTGAGAGACACCTGTCTGTCTGAAATACTTGGGTTGTCTTTGTTCTGTCACCCCAAATGTGGAGGAGTTTTACTAAACCACAGAAGCTGCCCCAGTTGAGGACTGGCCTCAAAACTTCTGCATGCAGTCAGCTGGTTTTAGCTGTCCTTTTCAGGCTTCAGCTCAAGCCTTACATCATATCCTTTTCCTCCAGGCACACTGCCTTAGTGTAAGGAAACATTTACTTTGCACTTTCCGAAGTGTTTCAGTGGTTGTTAACTTATAAAGGAGATACTTCATAGCAAGTTATTTATTAGTGTCTTTTTAAGTTCAAGGTAAACACACTGACTTGTCTTTTGTGCCTCTTAGGAGACTTGCATGGCCAGCTGGATGACTTGTTCCTCATATTTTATAAGGTAGGCACCAAATCTGGAGAGGGAGGCATTGGGAGAGGTATTGCACAGGTCATGCTGAGAAGTGTTTGCAAAATGGGGCCCTTCATGTCCAGTTCTCCAGGTCAGTTGGATTGGTATTAAAAGGCTTCATAAAATCTTTTAATCAAGCTTATTCCCTTGATGACTTTGAAATCTCATATTCATGTCCATTTTGGAAGTGCCACTGGGCATTTTTCAAGTGCTGATACCAGTAGCAACCCTTGCTGACTTACAACTTCCAGTGCTTTTGGCACTGGGCCCTACAGGATAAAGCTAAGTCAGGATATGTATTGTATAAGGTAACCTGGGACAGGAGTGAGAAACTGTGCAGCTGTGGGGGGGAGGCATATGGAGACCACGAGGCCTCTCTTGTAACATCCACCTGTTCCTTGCTTTTACAGAATGGTCTTCCTTCCCCTTCCAAGTCCTATGTGTTTAATGGAGACTTTGTAGACAGAGGCAAACAGTCCCTTGAGATCCTCCTCATCCTCTTTACCTTCCTATTGATCTATCCAAAGGAGGTTCACCTCAACCGTGGGAACCACGAGGACCACATGGTCAACTTACGGTACGGGTTCTGTGCAGGGCTGAGAGCCATGTCAAGGGTTTTGTGTGAAATCCTCCCACTCAACTGCCTTTCTCCTGTTCCTTTAGCTATGGCTTCACCAAGGAAGTGATGCAGAAGTACAAGGTAGGCATATATTTGTTCTCCTTTATGTGTGAGACTTTGAAGACCAGGGGCTTCATCTTTTCCCTTCTGACCTGCCCTCTTAGGTGCATGGGAAGAAAATCTTAAGGATGTTTCACAATGTCTTCTGCTGGCTGCCCCTGGCCACCCTGATTGATCAGAAAGTCCTTATTCTACACGGAGGCATCTCTGACACCACTGACCTGGACATGCTTGAGAAAATTCAAAGGGACAAAGTAGGTTTTATTTCCTACTTCCCTTCCTTTGTTCTGCAGCGTAGTTCCCGTTGCAGATTAAATCCGTGTGCTCTGCCTTTTGTGCAGTGTCTGAGCAGCGTGGAGTCCATAAAGAGATCTGATGGGTATGGGGCCCAGCTGTAAACCCAGAATGGCACATCCAAGGGGATGGTGCTAGTATGTCCCACAGTTAATCAGCAGTTGATGGCAGCAAAGGGAATTGGGGCTTGGAGGGCTGGGTCACTTGGTCAACCAATGGAAGATGATACAGCTGGAGGTGTGGGTTTCCAAGCAGTGTGATCAGCTCCATTTCTCTCATTCTTTCAGTTTATTTCTGTATTAAGAATGAAGAAAAGGAAGGAGTCAAATAGAAAAGTGGAAATGTGGAACGTAAATGGGGAAAGCAAATCAGAGGCTGATGCAGCAGGGAATGAGGCAGCTCCTAGGCTATCTCTGCAGCCCCAGCCAGCCCAGGCTCCCAGCACGGCTAACAGGCTGGAGTTCTCCAAGTGGCTCCGGCAGACGGTGCAGGAGCAAATCGACACGTGCCGCCGGCTGGTGGATATCAGCGAGTCGGAGCCAGAGGAGCTCACCTACTCCAGCATGGTCTCCCTGAAGTATGGGGATGAGCCGTGCTGGACTCATCAGGAGGAGTGGCAGCAGGTGAGCAGTCTGTGGGGCCCTGAGCTTGGTGAGCCGTGGGTGCCTTCTGTAGCAGTTGATCCTTCAATGCTAAATGGCCAGTAAGGGCTGTACTGTGAGCATGTGATGATCTCTGCTGTCTGGGGATATTCTGTTAGGTACCTATGCTACCTTCTTGGAGACTTGGTTTCTTTGGTTTTCTTGTCTGTAATTCTCCTCTGCATGTTCTGTAACCATGGTTACTTATTCCACATTACATAAGACATCCCAGTGCTGCACATCTTTTCAGCGTAAAGCTGTATATTGAGGTCACAGTTAAAGAGATTAAACTTTAATCCAGACAGTGGTTACTGAGTCAGCACTTGCATTTCTGGAGGCTGCAGAGTGTCCTCGGTAGAGAATAAAGGAGTTTAATACTAAGCCTGCTTGTGCCCTCAGAATCTGGAGGATGTTCTTGCCCTGGGACTTGTGCTTTGGGATGGAGAAGGACAAGGAAGGCTCTTGGACATCTTAGAGGCAGCAAAGGCAAAGCTTGTATCAGATCTGATTTTTGGACACCCCTCTTTCCCCAGGTGTGCCTGTAACTTCAGGCCAGCAATACTGTCATCTCCAAGGTGACCCAGGTCTGTGAGAGCTCAGCTGGAATGCAGGAAACATGTCTGTTCCCCTGCACTATGGTAACTGCAGCAGTGCAGGCAGGGATTCAGAGACTGAGCTATATTTGCCTAGTAAACCCTGGCAGGTGATATCTGCTGTGGGTACACTTTATTCAGTGAACTCTTGCAATCCTTTCAGATCTTAAACATTCTCTGGAGTGACCCCATGCCTCAGGAGGGCTGCAGAGCAAACAAGGTGCGAGGTGGCGGCTGCTACTTTGGGCCTGACGTGACAGAGAAGTTCCTTGAGAAATACAACTTGCAGTTCCTCATCCGCTCCCATGAGTGCAAGCAAGAGGGCTATGAGTTCTGTCACAGACGGAAGGTCAGTGTGAGAGGGATGGCTTGTGTCTCCATCCTTCCAGGGTAGGATTGCTGTAGGAGTGGCTTCTCTCAGCTTTGAGTTTCTTCCAATAGGGCTTTAAGTACGTGCAACACCACGGAACAGCCTTATTGGGAGTTATTGAAGTGTTTCCAGCTGTTAGGGCTGTCTGGAGCCACCTGCTCTGCTGGGGCCATGGTTGTGCAGGTAGAGGATGTCCTTGTGTGTAGCAACAGGGAAGATGTGAACCCACTTGTACCACAGCCCCTACTTAGTGCAACTGTTCCCGAAGATGGCATACGGAAGGTGTTACCGAGCTGCTGCAGCTAAGCTCTGCTCTCAGAGGACTCAGTGTCACTTCAATGACTTCATCAGGTGCACTCTCTGACTCTAGGCAGTGGATTTGTTGGGAGAGCACAGTGAAATCACAGAAGCCCAATATGTGGCCAGATCCATGAGATCTGTGCCGCCCTTGTGGAGCTTGCATGTGTAAGGCTTCCAGGCCAGCTGCAACCTCACTCTCCCTTTTCCACATAAAACATGATGTGTTCACAGTCTGGATTCTGGATGGGATCACATGTGTTGTTTACATGTATATATATATTACAGGATGCATGCACTGACTGTAAATGTCTCTTTTTTGGGGGGTTAGGTGCTGACCATATTTTCAGCCTCAAACTACTATGAGATTGGCAGCAACAGGGGAGCCTATGTGAAGCTGGGACCGGACCTCGTGCCCCACTTTGTTCAGTATCAAGCAAACAAGGCGGCCCATACACTCACCATGACCCAAAGGCAAGGTGTTCTGATTGCTCTGGATTCAAGTCAAAATTCCAAAAGGGAAACCTCTGTGGGCTTTGAGAGATTCTGGAGCTGAACTTTGACAGCTTGATTTTCTAAATAATAGCCCTCGAGGAGGATTCAAACTCTGTGCAGAAGTTAGAGGGAGGCTACTCAGGGATTGAGGAGGGACTGTTACAAGATCCCAAGGGGATTTTCTTTACAGACTGCTGATTTTTCAGTTTTTCTTTTCAAAGTCAACTTTTAACTTTTGACCCTTGAGGTTCCCTTCTGCTTTACTACTTTGCATATTGACGTGGGGATTCCTGCATCAGCTGTGTGCCCTGGGTGTGCAGTGTGTTGCTATGGGCAGAGATGCAGCTGTAGCTGTGCAGAACAGTTGTGTGAGGCTCTAGGAAACCCACAGAAAAGCCAGAGGACTGGGAAGGTGCAGCTTCTCTTGCAAGTCCTTCATGTGCTTCTCTCTGTTCTGCCTCCTCCAGAATCAGCAGAGTAGAGGAGTCTGCCTTCCGAGCCCTGCGGGAGAAGCTCTTTGCTCACACCTCCGCCCTCATCAGTGCGTTCAAGGCCTACGACGAGGACAACACAGGTACAGCTGAGCTGAGGGATGTGTGAGTCACCTGCTAGGACAGGGTTGAACTGACTACACTGAGTGGCTGTCATGACTACACTGTAGTGGCATGTGTGACCCCTCACTTCATGTGCCTTCAGCCGCTAGTATCCCAGAGGTCTCCATGTCTCTCCCTTTTCCCTCCAGGAAGGATCACGCTGAGCAACTGGGCGACGGCACTGGAGTCAGTCCTGCGCCTGGGCCTGCCCTGGCGAATGCTGAGACCGCAGCTGGTGCGCAGCACAGAGGATGGCATGCTGGAATACAAATCCTGGCTGGATGACCTGGCCATGGAGCAGCGGAGCCAAGAGGTAACTTTGGATGCAGGCTTGCGGGTGGGAAAACTGTATTTCACTCGGAGTTGCAGTTTCTTAATTACACCCAGCAAATCCAGCTCTGCAATGGTCATAGCCTGGAAAAGTGCTGTTTGGAAGGGACAGGCTGCTGATGGTCTGTACTGCAGTTGCACAGAGCATCCAGTTATCACATACCTCTTTGATAAGACACTGCTGGCACATTCTTGAGGAAGAAATGTTTTGTATTTACTGGGGAGGTGTGCAGTAACCACTCAGGACAGAGGGCTGCCAGAAGGGTAGAGTGAGTCTGATCATGTTCTCTTTCAGCACATCCAGTCAAGCCTGCTGGAAGTCATTTACCGGAACAGATCCAACTTGGAGACAATATTCAGGATCATAGACAGGGACCATTCAGGTAAGCAGGTGTGCAGGGGGTGTTGGTCACTGCCTTGTGTTCCCTTCTGCTTTGGGGCTCCCTTTAGTACATACAAAGGTGTTTTTATTTAACTGTTTAAGGCTTGGATCCTTCTACTCTCTCACAGGCTTCTGAAATGCCATTGCATTTTTCCACAAGCAAGATAAGTTTAAGTGTGTGCAATCCAGCTAGAGAATTAATAATTCTTTTTTCTGGAAGAGTTCAGCAGAAAAATTGTGATGAGAGCAGAGACAGTCAGTAATGCAGTGTAATTGGGACCTGCTTTCAAGCAGTAATCTCCATCAAATTATTTTGGGAAAGAGAAAATAGTCTTTGCCTTCTGTTCTCCCAATGTGTATTATGTCTCTTTGCGGCTTTAAGTTGTGTTTTAGTCAGTGTTCTCCACACTAGGAGATGGAGTTGGAGCATGTGAAACACTTCTCCACAGGTCTCATCTCATTTGAGGAATTCCAGCAGACCTGGAAGCTGTTCAGCTCCCACATGAACATTGAGCTCACGGACGATGGCATCAACGACTTGGTTCGCAGCATTGATTTCAATAAGGATGGGAACATCGACTTCAACGAGTTCCTGGAGGCCTTTCGCCTTGTCAGGCAGTGCCAGGCATGAGAGTCCCCGTCCAGGGCTGCCATGTCCAATGCCTTCGTGTCTGAGCAGCCGGGACTGCGTCCCACCCAGCTGCAGAGTGCCTGCGGATGCTGAGCGGGGAAGGCAGGTACCCCAAACAGAGAGCAGCAGCTGTGACCCATCAGGGAGAGGCAACAGGCAAAATACATGCACTGCAATTCTGACCATTTGTACAAAAAGCTGCATTTTAAGTAGAAAGGACTCCACAAAGGGAAGATGCAACTTAGTTACAGTTCTATCTTAGCTACAGTAGTACTACTTTATCCAAAAGTAGTAAAATGGAAGTAAAGGTATTAATTGGTTTTAACAAGGTAGCACCTGTTTGATCAGGGTTTTTCTTTTAATAAAGAGTTTTTTCTAGACTGCTGTTTCTTGGCTGTATTTGTTTTCCCTAGCTTGTAAGCTTTGTGAGCAGCAGTGCTGTTCCAGTGATGACACCTACTTCTGCTGGTGTTCCTTTGCTGTGGTAAGCTTGTTCTGTAAGTTTGAGGCAACTAACTAAGTTCAGTGGAGCAACACTTGGGGAAAAAAAAAAGCCACCTCCAAAGTGCAACACTGTCTCTAGCAGGGGGACTTGTTTAAGAAAGTGACTGACTAATCACTTCAACACCCAGGGAAGTGTTTCCTGTTAGGGAGCCTGTCCTTCACATTCAAGGTTTTTCAGAGCATGGTACAATTGCAGCTTAATAAGTGGAGCAAAGTGTGGTGGGGTTTGAAAAGCTTACAAGAAAAAAAAAGGTATCTCAAACTTGCAGCACAGTTAGACTAGCAGGGGAACCATGGCAGAAGAATTCACTTAACTATTACTAGACTACTACCCCAGCCCCTGAGAAAGAGAATTGTAGAGACATTTGATTTCTTTCAAGAGCCCATGTTAGAGCCTGTATTGCACAGAGGAGACATTTTATTAATTGAAACTATGCTTTCAAAAGCAAACTAAATCCTTTTCCCACTTAAGAGTTCCACATATGCTTTTTTCAACTGTAATGGAAGCAGGCTTCCACAAACACTCTCATGACTTTACATGCTGCAGCATGCTTAGGCTGTATTTTTGTTTTTCCATCTAATTTTATGAATGCGATTTATTTTGTTTTGTTGGCTAATGGACAAAATTATTATGCCTCCTCTGTTTCTGCTGTACAAACTCTTACTGCAGGTAACACAGTTTTGGTTTTTTTGTTTCAGTTATTTATCAGTGAATTTTTTAATGGGGGGAGTGGGTGGTGTTAAAACCAGCTCTCCACTGCATGGAGGAGGTACCTGCCCTGCAGCACTTGCTACCAGGTAGGATGCAAGGGACATGGCTGTTTATCTTGGTTTGGGGACTTAGGCTGCCAGCAGCTCTGTGCCATTTCTGTGCCCATTCTTTGCAGTGCCTGGAGCAGTGAAGTGCACTTACCTGGAGCTGTGAGCAGCATCACTGATGTAACCAAGAGCCAACACCACACACCAGTTATTACAAAGTCAGACTGAATTTATTACTCTTGGGCAATTAAAAAAAGGCAGAAGACAATGTCCAGACATTCTGTTACTTAGAGGGGCACCGAAGCTCTGTATAATTCATGTATGTAAAGTGATAAAAACATGACGTTCAGATCCGTGCAGTCCAAAGGAAGGACAGAAACTGGAAACAAGTTCCTGCAGCTTGCCCCAGTAAACTAGTGGTATTGCAGGGACCAACATAGTTACAGCAACTAACATCCTCATAAGGGTTTAACTGTTTACACAATGTTACTTGATCATTTGAACAGAAACATGGATGGGGGCTAAACTTTCCACAAACCAAGTCGCAAGTGAAGCAATCCCCTCAGCACTGCATTTATAGGACAATGTTGTTGTAAAAAAAAGGAGAGAAAAAAAAGAAAAAAATGTACAATAGTACATATAGTTTTATAGTAAACCAGTATCTGAACAGATTCAGTTTTCCTTCTTTTGTTAAAGCATATACAGCTTTACAAAATATAAACCTTCCAAAGGTCAATTTTAAAAGCTTAGAAGAGGCTTTGCTAATTCTAAAGGTAACAGCCAAAATAGCATTGCTCCTACAAGATACCTTTTATTTTACCTCAACAGTTTTAGCCTTGGAAGGTGAGCCATGAACTTGACTACTGTGTTCTGTCTAAGCCCTGCAGCATCCAGTCAACTGAAGACTCCTCCTCTGATGGGAATGCTTTCGTTCAGCCCGTGTTCTATTAGCTTGATGTCCTCCAAGTCATCCTTGATGATGCTGATTAGGTGACTGAGTCCTTCTTGCTGCTGCTTCAGGTGCTGCAGGTAAAGAAACCAGTGTGAGCACAGTCCAACTTTGCTGACTATAAGTAATATTTCCCAAAGGTGTCATGACTGGTGCCTTTGGCACACGGAACAGCCTGGCATAATTTCTTGGAAGAAGGAATAACAGTGTTTTCTGCACTAAAATCCTAACTCCCTGGAATGGTTTTGTACAGCATTAATGCACTGGCACTGAGAACAGTAAAAATTACTTAATCAAAAAATTCCAAGAACATGGCCTTCTAGGTACAGTCAAGTGTGCATCTGGCTTAAATGAAGTTCAAAAAGAATTCTACCCAGTCATACTTACTTGCTTGATTTCCCTTAAGAGGTCTGCATCTATGTAATAGCGCTCTTCAGCCCGCACTGCTCCAAAGTGGTTCTGCATCCTGATCTGGGACATGAGTTCATTCAGTCTGCCCTGCAGGAGAAACAGGCTTCAATCAAACATCTGCCAGAGCTCCAGCATGTACCATTCCTTCAGTCACCAGGACTGGAACAACGGCTGTTCATTCCATTTTTAAATGTTTTGGAAGATATACAAAGGGCAAGTGACTCCAATACTCCAAGAACTCAAAAATATTTAAGTACTTATCAGTCATGCAGCAATGTGTGCACTGCTACTCCTGGTAAAGCTGCTGGACTGCTGACAGTTTTCCACAAGAAATAACACCATGCATGGTTTGGCAAACAAACTTTATTTTTTTTTTTTTTTAAGAAAAGAGTAGCAGAGTTCTATTAACTACCTACCTTGAACTGCGTTGGTGCGTTAAGTTCACATTGAATTGTATCCAGCTGTACACGGAGCTGCTCCTCATCTGCTTGGATGGCATAACCACTTTTCCTTTGGATCTCCTGCTTTATTAACACCTACAAAAGAAGCCTTATAGGTTCATTAGAGAAGACTTGGCCCTTCTCTTTCCCCACCACTCCATTCATATGTCTTTTTGTCCTTCTTTCAGCATGGGTCTCACTGGACTTTTCTGTCACTTAGTCTGCTGCTGTGAGACACCCAGAAGCCACAGGGCTGCCCTGAGAACACAGAGAGAAGGTTCCTAAGTACTGTGGACCTGAAGCTTTCCCCACGAGCTCTGCCTGGCACTTAAATGAACACCACTTAGCTGAAGACAAATTTTTCAACACTGGTTATGCACAAGCTGGCACAGGCCTCCTCCCCTTTCTGTTCCTGGCACAAGGCTGTGTGTCAAAGGAGCTACTGACACTACCCCTGTTACCTGTAATGTTCTGTGAGAAAGTGCCATCAGCTTCCTTTTGTACTGTGCGATTTTTGCCATAGTTGTTGTTTGGTTTTTCTGCAGCTCACTGATATCTTCTGATATTATCTGCAGAGGACATGGAGGCAGTTGGAAGTCAGAGGAGTTTGTGATAACAGAACACATCAGTCCTGATTTAAAATGAGGAGATTTACAGCAGTACACAGCACAGCAACTTAGTGTCCTTGCCACAGATGCTTTTAGGAAGCCTTCTGCTACTTCAACTATTCTGCTTTTTATTTACTTTTATCTGCAACTGGGATTTTCAGAAGGTATTGGAAAACTGTTACCTAAATTACAGTCCATACCAGTACACCTTCACTGAGCAAGTCTAATTTAGTCTAACAACAGAGCAAGCTTGAACTTGAAAAAAAGCCAAACCATGCTGCTCCCTTTTGGGCAAAAGATATATTTAAGAAGTACATTAAGAACATGGTTCTGGTTTCAGTTTTCAACACACAGGAGGCGCAGGGGGAGGTTCATTTTAATAGCACATCCTTCAGCAATCATAAGCAGTCATGATAAAGATGAGCAACCTTACATCTAATCGAGTTTGATGCTGCTTGGTCATCTGATCTTGGACCTTCAATCTTCTCAACAGTTCCTTGAAACCCACCATTGGCACAGGAATAAGCCTACAAGAACACAAATGTTTCTTGCAATATGTTTTTTTTACTGGATATGTGGTATGGATTAATAATTATGAATAGAATCTAATATAAAGGTACAGATAATCATGGCCGTTGAAGTTAATAAATAATATCTTCTTTTGCTAAGCTCTAGTGTCCTCACTATTCCCAACCACCTAGTCCTCTGTTATAAAGAAATCAGCCCAAATTATCTGTAACTACTGAGGGTACAAGGGTGCATCACCTTCAACTGCAAGAAGAGGGGGAAAAACCCATAATGGTTGCAAAACATAAGTCACAATAACTAGTGCATGCAATGGAGGACACCACAGCTCTGAGTCATGCCAGTAAAGCTCTTTATCCTGACAGTTCCTAAGCACCTAAATGGGTAAAGGGATTAACAAAGGCACTTCCAGTAATCTTCAGTGTTTGCAAGGAGATCAGCACTTGGCCAAGTTCTTCTCTAAAATGTTTCTTGCAAGTACCTGGAGGGTACTATACAATTATCTTTCTCCCCTTTCCAGGTTTTGTTGCAGTACTCAGAGTATTGGACTTACTTGTCAGGATCAGGATTATCAACTTTGGCTTGTTCCCAAATAATAGGATCAACACCTGGAAAAAACAAACAAAGGCATTTTTTAGTATGGATAAATCTGAATCACTTTCTCATCTTACAGCTCTTAAGCAGGAAAAATTGCTATGGCATACACAAACCCTATGAGCTATGCTGAACTATTAATTAAATGAGGGTAATTTTTAAAAGTCCTGTTGCAGAGCTGTGGCAGTAAGTACAGTCCCAAAGGCTGTCCAATACTCCTGCTGGTTTGAAGGCAGTGGAAAGGAATGACCCATATGTGATCCCATCATATAATTCATACTTTAAAGGGAGAAATTCCTACTCTTTCCACTGTATTGGGTCATCTGTCCTTTTCAAGTTGTGTAAAAAACCCAAATATTAAAAAATCATTAATTAAAGTGATCAAAAGCCAAAACCAGTTGGCAAAGTAATCCCAGTAGGAACTAGCTCTGATTTTTCTGCATGAGTAGGCCCAGTTCTTTTTGCAATCCTGATTTCATAGCTTTTCATATCCTCAACACAGACATATATAAAAGCTACAGACATAAAGATAAGTTATCTTACAAAACGGCATGAAGAACACTTAACTACTCCAACACAAAGCTGTATGTGCACTGTCTGTAGCTCTTGTAGCTTTCCAAGGTGTTTTCCAGTGGGCTGACAGCTGCGTTTATCCCAGAGCCCAAAAAGCCGAGCCCACGTACCGGCAGGAGGGTTCTGCAGGAGCTGTTTGACCTGTGCTGGGGACAGCTCTGTCCTGGCCATGGAGAGGCTGACCCCCAGCTGCTGCAGGGACGACTTGATGTTGGCTTGTTCGAAGTGGGCGTAGAGGGTGGTGGCGGGAACTCTCCTCGAGGTGCCATTGGGCGAGCGCTCCACAACGTAAATGATCACCTCTGTCCTGAGCAGGGCAAAGTGTGGAACGTCAGGAAAGGGGCAGCAGCGTGCAGGAACTAACACAACAAAACCAGCCCCAAATCCAACTGACCACTTCTCCCAACTTGCTCTTAACTCCCTTTAGCTCACTGAGATGTGCAGTACCAGCAGGTACAGGGTTTAACACAGCGAGGCAGACAGAGGAAAACTGTGCATACCATTACATGATATGGCGACACTGGTATAACACTGGGAATAACCTAAAACCTCTGGAAAGCTACTGGACTCCATGCCTTAATAAAAAGCAATATGAAGGAGCGAGAGATACAAATTGAACTCAGGATGAAGAGATCCAAAATCAAGGAGAAGGGGAGGCAGTACACTTAAGCACCAACCCTTTCCAACATGCAACACTGGATAAAAAGGCAGAACTATGGGAAAGTCACATACTGGTCATCTGGCATCGTTTTAACCCCTTCGATGTTGACAGTGAGGGTCTGGTTTCCCCCCAGAATTTTGTGTAGTGACTCCACAAGCTGCTGCTGCTGGCTTCGAATATCTGCTTCTTTTCTGTTGAACACCAAAACCACGAGGCCATCTTCATCTTTGTTGTTGGGCATTAGACTGTAACCCACAGCCTACAAAGGAACAAATGAAAGATGAGGATATATTACTTAGCAAAAGCATATCCAGTGTGGCATGACCAGGACAGGCTAAACCCCTCTGATTAGACCAATTGGTTCAAAATTTAACTTAAAACATACTCAGAACTGCAGAAACATAAAAGTAATCCTTCTCTAAATCATTCTTTCACACAAATATCAGTAGAGCAGCTTTTGAAACAGCTTGGATTTTTACAGAAAGTTCCTAAGTAACCATTTCCCATCTTGTAGAAAAACCTATGAATTGGGAGTTCAGCAGAGCTGACAGCAAATCAGGAACATTTTAAAATTTACCTTTTTCCCAAATTTCAAAAGGGACCAGAGGACTAGATGTTATTACAAGCAGAAGCAGAGTGGCAGCTTTCATCTTCCCTATGAGCTGTCACACCAACATCCCACAGGGGACAGGGTGGACAGCGGGGGCTTTTTGAGGCCCTGACACGGCATGTGGGTGGGTGACCTGCACCTTCCCCTCCTACAAGTTCAGTGGAAGAGAAAGATAAGTTGGGGATGTGCCCAAGAGCCTGGTTTTATCAGCAGTGGGTACTCCCCTGCCACAGTGAGCCTCACAGAATAAGCCATCTCATCATAGAACACAACAGTGACAGCCAGGGAAGAATTTGGTTTTAAGCACATCACTCCTGTGCTATTTCTGCTTTAAGTAAATAAATCCTTCATGACTTCTTTATGCAACAAAGTATTTTCAAACTATGACATTTTATTTACTTCACTGTGGTCCTTCCAACAGCAGCCTGTAACACGTACCTTAGAGGCACATTTTTCTTGGCTAAGAGCTGCGTGCTTCTTATTTGCCCTAGATCTGGAAGTGTGTGCAAGTGGATTCCTTGAATGCCTGTGAAACCCTCCAGGTAATGCCTCATTCTTCTCAGATGCCTGACACTTCCAGAGGCAATAACCAAACTAGCGTATGATGCTTTGTTCCTATCCCCATGCCACCAACTTCTCCCTATTTTATTTAGGCATCTTCCATTGCTGGCACAGACGGGACTTTTCAGTGTTTCACTTAAGGCATGTGAATTCATAACTGCATTAGAAACACTAAAGTCATAGGGACAAGGGTGAACCAAGTATGTGGCATTGTCTAAAATGAAAACCACTCTTTTTGGTAAATAAAACTCTAAAATAACTGAGTTTCCACGACACAACTCACACCTGGCAATTTTTCAAAGCCTCTAAAGCAATTTCAGACAACAACTTACAATAAAATAAGCTTCCAGGTGCATTGCCAGCAAAATATCCAAGGGAACACTGAATAAGGCGATGCAACACAAGCCAAACATTTGTTAGGCAGGCACTCGGCTGCTGCAAAAATTTTATACAAGTCTCATGATGTGCATAATCAGAACTAGACTTAATTAAGTATTATCCTACATTCAGGTCACAAGGTTTGCACTCAAAGAATCAGCTTGGGGAAGCAGGGCATCACCACACCTGCCCCAAATCCCCTGCTAGGCCTGAGGCTTAGCAAGGCAGTCAGCGGGGGCAGAATCGGCGGTGGATGAAGAGCCACATATTCTCTGTCCCCAGGAGAACTGCTGACGACTCCAGACAGAGAATGGAGCATGTGAGCTCATACAGTGTGAGCATGGGAGGGATAAAGGCACAAGTCTGAAGGCTGGTGGACTTTAAACCTGGCACAGGCCAGGTTCATAGAGGGTTATTTTAACGCAGTTATTTTACATACTTTCTGTCATATTGTCACCTACACAAATACACATTAAAATTCATTTCCAGAGACTTGCTCCAGTGACACACACACTAACCTGAATGCTATCACAGAAAATGTAACTTTCATGACCCACATCTGGGCTCATGATCTACTCCCTCCACACCACCCAGACTTCCAGCATCTTAGAACCTTTTAATAAGCATGCACCAGAACTGTGTGGATTACCTAAAAAAACACTGTTTCAGAATACTCTCACCAGTAACAAAATCCGATTTATCACCCGTGAGATGCTCAGCCTCAGCAAACAGAATAAGGGTGTCAGAACCCTTTGTGGGCAGCCATACAACTCCTTACCTTAAACCTGCAGAAGGGGTTTTCCTGGGTGAACTCCACGGGAGCGATGTTGTTGTTGAAGTACCCTTTGCCCGTTCCCCAGAAGGCCTGCAGCTGGTTCCACTTGGCCAGAATGGCATCCCTCTCATCCCCCAGGAGTGTCGGAGCTGACAGGGCGCTGGCTGTATTGATGAGCTGGTTGGACTGGGCGGGTGTCTGGGCAGGCTGGCTGAACAACCCGCTACCTAACGCTGTGGTGGACGGAAAATCCAAATTAATTTCCTGAACAACCATGCCAGACTCACTTGCTATCACCTACCACCTGCCTATCATTGGCACTACTTCTTTTCACATTCTGAGATGCAGAATAAAAGCACAGAATAAATAAATAATTTTTTTTTTACTCTTAATCTTCATCTACAACAGTAGTTCTTGAATGCTGAGTTAGAAGAAAACTATTTTTTCTTTATTCTTTAAATGAGAGGTCTGTACTGATCCAGAGCATCATCTGGCACCTTCCATATCTAAACCTGAAGGGCAGGTTGGTTGTTACAAACTCAGCAGACTCAGAGCCTGCAGCAGCTCATCATCCAATTCACATTTAAACTGACCTCAATGCTGTTTTCCTCCCCTTTCTAGTAATGTTGTGACTGCAACATCAATTCTGTAACTATCATTTCCACCACCACTAAACCAAAGGGGTACATATTGTCAGGAGCTCAGGAACTTGCCTGAGCTCTAGCAGAGCTTACGAAAAAGGCAAAGTGCTGCAAATGGAGGCACTTCAAGTGCCAGATTTCTGAGGGAGTCTCCATCAATCAGGAGGTAAGTGTGTAACAGCCTCTTTTTACAGTACACTTCTGTCCCACTACCTGAGTACCTGTGACAGTCTTACACTCTCACTGCTAAGAGAGGCTTAAGTGCAGAGAAGGCCATACTCACTGGTCTGCTGCTGCTGGGTTCCAAAGCCTCCAAAGCCAAGCCCAGTTCCCAACCCACTACCCAAGCCAGTTCCAGTTCCTGTGCCAAAACTAGTGCCAAATCCAAAGCCTTTGTTCTGGGTGGCACCAAAGAGTCCTGGGGGAAAAAGGAGAGGATTTTTGAGAGAAGAGGATAGTGCCAGTGCAATCCAAAGCACCCATGGGTTGTTCTAAAGCCAACGGGTCAGACTCTCTTACCGCCGGTGCCCGTGTTGGTGGGTGCAGAGAAGCTGAATGCCGGTGCTGCAGTGGTGGTGGTGGTGCCAAACCCTCCGAACGCTCCTGCCAAACAAACACTGGGAGTCAGGCAGTGGTTCACAGAGCAGAGCGGGCACAGCACCACGAGCAACCGCACTTGGGGGTGATGGGAACAGGTCTGACACATGGATGGGACATGTCACAAGCATGTGCTTCACAATGGTCTGGGGATCGAGCTCGTTGTCCAAGGAAATGGGGGAGAAAACATGGACCAGAGAACCAGAACTGGTGTGGTGTGTCAAAAGACTAAACAAAAAGGCAACTGTCAACTGACATCCTGTTCCTTTACCAGCTGGATGTGCTTTCCCTTGCGACAGACACAACTAATAGTAGCATTGCCTACATTCATTCTCAGGAACACCTCTGGTCAGTGTCACTGCTGAGTGTTTAATAAACAACCTGACGTTTTGTAAGCTTTTCAAACACTGCTAATCCTTTGAAATAAATCACAGCCTGAGGCTAGGGTGCCCACAGTCACGGTGCTTACAGAGAAAATTCACAGGTAAAATTCTAGTAGGTCCTTTTTTCTTTAAGCCTAGCTTCCCTATCATCTTCCCCATTAAACCTTACTTGGAGATTCAACCACTAGTATAGGAAGATGGATGCAGAAGCAATCAGCCTTCCACAGATTTTCAGGAAAAGCAGTCACTGGGCAGCAGGAGAGGGCCTAAGTGAGGGCCTGAGCTCCAGTGGTGCCAATGCAGCGCCGGCCCAAAGTGCAGCCTGTGGAGTGCTGACCAGCCAGGGAAACCAAGTTCTCTCTGTTTCTGGCTGTTTTTACACATGTTCAACCAAAGAAGGACACTGTGCTACAAAGGATTTGTCAAAAAGACGCTGCCACTGCTAACTCACATGCATATGCCAAAAAAACCCCACGTTCCTTAGATCTAGTACACTCGCAGTCCTCCTCTACACAATCAAGTTACAAAGCTTAAACCAAGGCTGACGTGCAATCACATTTTATCTCCGTTCAGCAGACATATTAGTGCCGGTGGGCATAACCAGTTGTTCCCTGTAACATCCATGTTTCTGTCCTACCAGCGAGTGAAACACCCTGGCAGGAGCACCAATGACACAATCTCTAGGTGGTTTTGCACTCTTTACTCATCCTTTCTTTGAAAGGAATCTGAAAGTGCAAACTGGGAAACCAAATTAAATACCCAAGTTCTCTTTTGGAGCAGCTCAAATTCAGCCAAGGAAATACAGCCCAAGAGTATCTCCAGCAAACAAACCCAAACCAGGTCCCTGGAGTGCACACAGCAGGTGACAGTCACTGACACAGGGAGTGATGGCACTGTGGAATGGATGGAATTCCTATACGAGCAGCAGCAACAGAATCCCCAGGATAATTCCACATGAGCAAAAGCATTAGAAATCCACCCAGTACAGCATTTTTATACAAAATAGGAAAGATTTAAGGTGAAATTACATCACTGATGGATCTATATGGGGCCACGAAGGGTATTCTTAATCACCACCCAGCACACCCATGACACCCAGGGCCCTTCCCAGAGCACCGGGCATCCCTCCGGAGAGCCAGGGAGGTTTAGGGATGCTCAGCAGCATTTGGGGAACAGGTCAGGGCTGGGCTGTGCTTTCCTGCCGGTCGTATACAATTTGTTTCTCCACAGAAACTGCTGGGGTGTGGTGCATTCATGACAGCCAACGCAAGGCCAATGAGAACACAGGGGGAAGATGAAAACATAACTGCAGCAGTCCAAGAATCTCATGTCAGGAAACATGGCACAGGGAGCAGCTCTGGGGTTGTGAGGGATGGCCTGGATCTCAATGGAGACCTGACAGTGCCGTTTGGCTCTGATTGAGGCCCAATTTCAGACTGGAGGGTGACCCCAGTTCATTCCCATTTCACAGACTGAGTATTTGGTACAGGATTGTTTTTCCTTTAAAAGCTATTCCTTCAGAATTTAACAGCTAAACCCCCTACAAGCCTATGGCTCTCAGACCCCATCCACTTCCAGAGCTTTTCTTCCCAGTCTTCACTGGATATGAAGATTAGTACTGTCCCAGATTCTCAGTTTGGGATGCAATTCTTGGACCCCTGCTAGCAACATTTACCACAGAACAAGTATTTCCGCGTTATCTACCTGCACTTGCCAGACTGTTACCAAAATTGAACGGTGGAGTTGAGGTAGTGGAAACACCGAAATTCCCAATATTAAAATTCACCGCGGGATTAGCAGTTAATCCGAAACCCCCAAAATTAAACCCACTGGCAGTGGAGTTTGCAGTTTCAAGCCCACCAAATCCTGACAAGTGGGAAGCAGAAAAAGAGCAAGGCAACATTAGTTCTTCTGAGTAAAAGGCAGGAGAGAAAACCTGAAACATTTTTCCATCCCCGTGGACAAGACAGGCACAGTTAAAAACAAGAGTAAGGTATTATTTAGCAGATACAAGGAGGACAGTTAAAAGCTCCACACATTGCTGCTGGAAGCATGAAAACACACCTCCAGCAACTGAGGCACCACACATGCCTCAGTTATTCCAGTTACATCCGAATTACATCCCAAAATCTGCTCACCCCAGCCTTGCTGATGAATTACCTTCTGCATCCCACCCCAGTGTGCCCGGGATGCAGCTGGAACAGGTTCATTCTGCACAGACAGTGGGAAGACCTAGGCTGTGACCCCACAATTCCCTCTGATACTGGGTTGTGTGTAATAAACCTTGTCACAGTGTACAGGCAGCACAAAGTTAATATTCACTTTCAGATGGGGCCAGAACGAATGTGTGTGAAACACCGGGAGTGGGAAATCACACAGTAAAATTCAGGCTAGCTGCAGCGAAGCTGGGACCTGTCCAAAGGACTCGCTCAGATGGTCTACTAGGAGCCAGCAATGATTTATTTTACCAAGTGAGCGTAAGGAAGGCTTAGGCTTACACTTCACCGCGACTGACAGCGACAAAACAAGCGGGCCAAAAAGGTCTTTCTTCCTTTACAAGCGAAAAAGCCGTGTTTTACCTTGCCCAAAAGCGAACTTCCCAGGGCACCTCATCCAAACGGGAACGTCATTGCAAGCAAAGTGCTGCCCGGAGAGACCCGCACGGTCTCGTCACGGGCGCCCCGGGAGGGACTCGCGGGGGGCACTGAGGGGTGGCCGTGAGGCGGCCGCGCAGCCCATTGGCCGGAGGGCGCGCGCCGGCCGCCACCGCGGTTCCCATTTGCGGGGGGGGCGCGCGGGCTCTGAGGCGGCCGCCGCTCCCATTGGCCGGGGGGCACGCGCGGGCTCTGAGGCGGCCGCGGTTCCCATGGGCGCGGGGGGGCGCGCGGGCTCTGAGGCGATCGCCGCTCCTATTGGCCGGGGGGCACGCGCGGGCTCTGAGGCGGCCGCGGTTCCCATTGGCGGGGGGGCGCGTGCGGGCCCCCACCGCGGTCCCTCGCACGCGCGGCGGCACGTGCGGTTCGCAAAGCCTGGGCCGCACGTGCTGCCGGCCGCCGCCGCTCCTCATTGGCGGGAGGGCCCGCGCGGGCCGCTGAGCGGGCCGGGGATCTCATTGGCCGAGGGGCACGCGCCGCGGTTCCCATTGGCCGGAGGGGGGGCGCACGCTGCCCGCCGCCCGGCTCCCCCCGCCCCTCCCGGCCCCGCCCCGCCCCGCTCCCCCCGCGCTCACCGCTCGGGTTGGCGGCCCCGGCTCCCGCCGTTCCGCCGAAGTTGAAGGCCATGGGGCCGCTCGGGTGGCGGCGCGGGGGGAGATCCCCCGCGGGAGGCGCGTGCGAGCCCCCGCGGCGGCTCCGGCCGCGAACAAAACCCGCCGCACGAGACGCCGCCGCTGCCGCCAAAGCGCTTCCGGGTGGCGCGGGCGACGCGCGGGCGCCGGGTGCTGACGCAATCGGCGGGCGCCAGCGGGCTGTACCACCGCGGGCGGCAGGAGGCGGGGGACGGGGGAAGTTGGACTATACCATGGGAGAGAGGGAAATAAAGGGATAATAACCAGTAATAAACCCAAACAACTCTTTTCCCCGTCAGTGGAAGGGAGAAAATGCCGTGCTTTGGGCCGAACAGGGATTAAAAGTGATCGTGCGGGCTAAAATATCCTCAGGCACAGGTCGCCCCAGGCCGGGGGTCTCCCCATCCCGGCGTCCCCTGGAGACACAATTCCTGCTGTCCCCCTCCCGGCCCCCTCCCTTTGGACACCTCTCACTACCCCAGGTTGCTCCAAGTCCCGTCTAGCCAGGCCTTGTGGGATGGGGCAGCCACAGCTTCTCTGGGAATTCCATTCCAGCCCCTGAGCAGCCTGGCAGGGATAACACCAGAGTACCCCCAAACCCAACCAGTGCAAACCCCGAACGCCCCTGGTCAGAAGGCAACAACACCTTTTTAAAACACGTTTCACTGTCTAATGGAAACACACGAGAATAGTCTTTTAATTGGGGCAGCGGGGGGAGAAAAAAAAAAACCCAACAACACTTGTGATTTTTAAAACAAGTTTCTGCACGACAAGTAAAAAACAGTGCGAGGAGCTGCCCGTCCACGTTTAACACGGACGGGGCGCTCCCGTCCCAAACACGCCCAGTTCACCCCAAACCCCCAGGACACATCCCCGGCTCTGCGCCCCCCGCCCCAGGAACAACGCCGAGCCGTGGGTTTCTAAGCTGAAGGACAACCCCAAACCCGAGGGACAGAAGCCTGGCCAACATGCACGGTGGGGACGGCCGGGAGGTGGGTGTGGGAAAGTGTTCCCGGCCATGTGGTTCCACCTGGAGGGGCCGGCGCTGCACGAAGTCCTGGCCGGGGTTAGTGACGCACCAGTGCTGTGAAGGACATGAGGAACAAACACTCGGGACTAAGTTACAGCACAGGCACCACCGGCGGGGCTGTCCCTTGTCCCCAGGCCAGCCGGGAGCCTGCTGTGTTCCCAGAGCGCCCTTTGCAGAGGCTCCCCGTGTTGTTTCCGTAGGGAATGAGGCCGGTGTGCTGTCGCCCGCACGGTGGTTACGGCCCCCCGTGGGTACACACAGAGGGCAGGGGTGAGAAAAGCAGGGTCTGGAGCAGTTTTAAAATGGAGTTTTAAAGCAGCTGGCGAGAAAAGTCTCCTCCCTGGCTGACGGGGCTCTGTCAGCTCTCTTCCAGCTCAGTCCCACAAAAAGCCACGTGGACACAGCTGTGTCTCCGCAGGGGACACACTGGGAAGTGGTAGTCGGTGTTAGCTCAGCTCTAAGAGTTCATTCTCCAAGCTCACATGGTAAAGAAAATCTACTAAGACGTCCTGATGAGCGGGGATCTCTCCTCCTCCGTACTCTGGAAGAGAAACACCACAGCAAGTTAAATGTGGCACACGGCAGTGACTCCAGCTGGGCTGCCCCCACCCCGGGCAGGGAAGGCAAAAGCTCTTGGCTCCTACTTCTAAGTACAAGAAAAGCACCAGAGGGTGGGCGGCAGCTCGGGCAGGGACCTGCTGTAGCACCTGGGAGAGGACGGAAGGACAGAACCACCCAGGGGATCACAAGAGGAGCTACAGACTGCTGGATTACCTTTGTTTGCAGGAAAAGCAACTAAAGCAAAGCAGAAAAAACATGGAATGTAGGGGTCCCTTTGTCATTTTGATCCCCTGTGGAGCGTTCCAGCACATCCAGGAGAGCTGTGCATGTAGGGTGGGGCAGGAATGCCTGGGACAGGCCTCAGGCAATGGGACAGTCCGGTTCTCTGAGCTGCTGGTAACACAAGCAGGCTCCAAAGCTCCAAGGAAAAGGACCAGCCTCTCCTGTAAAGGCTCCAGGAGGACAGTTCCACTAGGATGTGATGGGTCCCACTGATCCAGAGGGGTGGCTGGGTGCTCCGGAGGTTGTAAGGCAGCACTCAGGGAACACCAAACACACAAGACCACACTAAGCCCAGAGCAACTACAAGGACAAAACAGCCTCCTAGAGTACCCAGGCTACTTCTCTAGCCAAAGGCTCCACAGTTTGTGTCATCTGAACCCCACTCACTTGCGTGTCAGGGTGAAACTTTGGCACCAGCTTTCACCCTGACAAGCACCTTTATGCCAGCGTGTCACCTTGTGACAGAGCTTTTCACAAATAGATTTACAAATTCTTCAGAGAAAACTCTCTACAGGCTGCTGTCTGTGAAATTCAGCTGTTCTTTGGCCATAAATTCAGAAACAATCCAGTGGCACAAAGCAGCTGCTTCTACTGAGAACACTGACAGACTGCCAACTGCATCTGCCCTCAGACACGGTGGGGCTTTTGCACCTTATCCTTCAGGGTCCTCTAGACAGGCTGATTTATTTTTCACTACTGTTGGCAGGGGAATTGGGCACAGACACACGACCTGCCTTACCAGGTTTCTTAGATTAACTCCACTCCTTTGCTTTGGCGCGTTTATTCTGACTCTATTAAAACTTCCCCTCCCTGGAAAGGCCATTTTAAACAAAAACAACATATAAAAACGTGTGCAGAGAAGACACCAAACGGGTCAAATCAACCAAAAGAAAATCAAATACAGGCAGATGGACAGCAAGGAAGTTCAAGTGCTTCTTACCTCTTCACTTATCCCCCGGGACCTGCACACCAGCACAGTAAAAACAATCCCAAAAACAATCCCTAGAGCCATGATTACGAAGGGGATTCCAGTTACAACACTGGCTTCCAGCAGCACGTGCCTGAGTTTGCTGGCAGAGGCCTCATCGATCAGAACACTCTGGAGCAGAGAGACGAAGAGGGAAAAAAAAAAAAGAAAAAGGAAGATTTATTTCTGTTCTTTATATAAGATCACTTCTGTGAAGGGCAGGGAAACAACATTCCCACAGCTCTCCGCCACTGCTTCATTGCGTCCTCACACGCTCCCCTTCCAAGAATTCTTCCGGGGGCCAGAGGGATCACCTGGTCTGTATTTCCAAGGAAAACTGGGATTTTTAACTTTTGGATTAGGAATGGACTAATACAGGCCTGGAATATTGGTGTGCAGAACTGGAGTCCTCCCTGAAGCCAATTAATCCAACCACAGCACAGGAATATTCACAAAAGAAGTACTCAAGAGATGTCATCTTGTGAATTCCCTCCTCCTCGCCCGAGCACCCCCCTTATCCTCATGGCCAGTTCCTTTGAAACCCAAAGGAGTGTCTGACTGAGGGTGTTTTGCAGGGCTGAACTCAACACCGCGGTCAACAAGCAGCAGGAGGGTGTTAGATAAGAAACAGCAACAGCTTCCTACCTGTCACTGTATAAAACCCCAAGGAAACCAGCATTTTCTTTTCTGGTTGGCTCACAGAAGGTGCTTCTGCAAGCACAAGCACAAGGCTGCAAGGGCAGGACAAAGCTATTTACCTCGTTTATGTACATCACGGGGAAAACCAGCGTTCGGATGTTGCCGGTTTCACTGTGTGAAAAATAAGACAACAATAAAAAATTACGCTTTGGAAACTTTTCAACTTGAGGGTTGTGAAGACAGATTATGATAGAACAGTGAATGAGGAAAGTATCCCTGAAAAAACCTCTGGCCTGCTCCTTTTAATTGTTGGCTTTCACCTCCTTACTGGGGTAGAACACCCTCAGTTTCCGAGGTGAATCACAGATTCTGGATTTGGAGCAGTGGCATTTTTGGGGATTTGGTGGAGAGAGAAAGAGAGGGATCCACATGGAGTTCATTCCTAACCGAGTGACAGACTTGTGCCAGGCAGCAGGAATGTGAAGCTAAGCTGATGTTGGAGGTTACTCCTGTTTGTAAAACACAGGAACTATTGTCCAAGCAACATGGGCACAGCAGCAAAAACCCTCAACACTTGGCACACGTGGAATCCCAGCTCAGGCAGAAGTCGCTCCTGTGGCAGCTCCTGGGCACTAGGAAACAAGGTGCTGCTGTTCTGAAGGAACATCACTGACTCTCCCAAGGGAACTGAGAAGATAAAATACTTTTTAGTTGTTACAGCCAAGCTGTGCCAGTAAACATCAGCTGAGTAGGAGGAATAGCTGCCCCACAGCACCAGTGATAAATAAATCAAAGTGTCAGGAAGACACAGGATGAAGGGGACAGTGTTTCTGCACAGCTGAGCTGCAGTCTCGCTCTGGGACACCCAGAAAACCGGCAGAGCACACTGGCTGTGAAATAAAAATGGGGATCTTTACTCCCACGTGACCTGGGATTGTACACTGTTCCCATCTGCAGGACTGTCC